GTTGGCACACTTCCATCGAGAAGGAAACATTGAAGCCATGGAAGGTTACATGAACTCTTGTCGACAATATTGGACAGACTGGATGCGAGGTCAAACTGCCCCAACAGGTTGGGAAGACAGACACAGTATCAACAGAGACGAATGGAGAGAGAAGTTCTTGCTATACGAAAGAGACTTAGCAATACAGAAGGACATGGAGTATCTCTCAGAAGCAGTCTTTGTCTTTTACACTAAGCATCTTGATCAGTTCATTAGAGAGAACAACAAACTCTGGGGAGATTTCTGCAGGAGAAAGAAGGACCGTGATGGTAACATTTTGGATGCACTGGAGTTGAACACACATGGGTATGACATGACTATTCAAGGAATTACAGTTCCCATGAACAAGAGAACAGTCATCCCAGAACCTGAACGGCATTTCTCGTTTTCCACAAAGATGATGATCATGGCAATCGATCTGTATGAAGATGAAGCACCTGCTAGCTTCAGCCATTTCACAGTTTTTGCTTTGAACAAGCTTCGACAATTTGTGGATAGCAGAAAGGAATTGACAGCTCAATCCTACAGATTCTTTGTTGAACATGCCTACAATCAATTCTTTCAGCATGAAGCATTCCATCAATCTGCAAGAGCAAGGACAAAGGTCAGGGAATGCGGTTCAGGTGACTTCCACACATCTACAAAGCTCGATGGCTACATCTGGGTAGCTGGAAAGGACAAGATCGCTCACATCCCAGGATCAGAGCAACAGAATGTGGACATGGAAGGTCACGATGATGATGATGCTGAAGATGATTTGGAGTTTTTGCCAAGACTACAAGTTTTTGTCAGGAAAGAGGAGGAAAAGGCATCAGGCTCTCAGGAAAGAGAGGAAGAAGGTGTATGCTCTCAAGAAAGAGAGGAAACACAACCACAACAAGAAAGTGAGGTATTACCTGATGCAAATCCTCGAAGAAATATGGAAGATCGACAGGGACTGTTTATAGTCAGGCAACTCAAACCAGAGCACAGACAGATCCTCCATGATATTACACTCCAAGGCCAATCAATCCTCACAGAAGATGATCTTGAAGGAGGTCGACCCCTTGAACGTGGTGACATAAGCTTCTTCTCATTATGGTTGATGATGTCAGCATTATCAGATGCTTCCTTTTCAACATTTATGGAGCAGTATGCACCTATGATGGGTTATGAGATCTCTTACGACAAGTACTATGAGTTCAAACTGGATATTGACAAAGTTCTCAAGGACAATGAACACCTCGGCGCAGAAAATTTCTTTGGAGCAGAGGATCCTCATATGGTGGACGATGATCCAAACACTCCTCTTCCAGATCTTCAAAGACCAGGCGCAGGTGATCCTGAGTACAAGCATACCATTGAAAGTTTGAACATTGAGGACAAACATATCATTTTGGAAACTGATGATGACAAATTGGTTGAGTGTACATTGAAGTGGATCAGTATGTGCAACAAGAATGTTCAACAAAAGATCAAGGACAGTTTTGTCAAACCAGAAGAACGACAAGAGAAAGAAGAGGATGAAGAAGAGGAGATTGCTGTCGAAGAAAAAGAAGAAGAAAAAGACACACAGGAGCCACATGTCCCAGCTGAATGCTCTTCAGAGAAAGAGGAATCAGCTCCACCTGAACGCTCCTCAGAGAAGGAGGAATCAGGGGAGAAAAAGACAGACATTCAAGATGATGAGACAGCTCCTGAAGTGAAACCTGCAGTTCGACTTTACTATGGTCAAGATATCACTGGAAACGAAGATGATTCAGTTTTTCGAAGATTGAAGGATTGTTTTTCAGATGGTTACCATGGTTAATGGGCAGGATTTTACAACAAAGGTTATCCAGCGTCTTCGAAGCATCGACATATGTTTTGGCATGTTAAGTACAGGAAGACCATGTCTCCACATCATGATTTTTGGTACCATCTTACAGATGACCAGTTGATGGTTGAGTACATTGCCAGACACAAGAATCAGGATCCACAACTAGAATTACAAGAACTTAATCAGCGCATTGAATATGGTTGTAGTGATCCAAGGATGCATCCTCTTCATCAAGACAAAGCAGAAAGATCCTCAAAAGAAGCAGAAAAGAGGATTGATGACGATTTTGGAAATCTCACAAGGGTACTCCAAGATTACGTTGAGGACCACAAGGTCTTGCCTTACTGTATGATCTTGCATAGCTTGGCTTACAGGTATTTAGGTGGAGGCCTATCAGACCCAACGTACAAGGATGCTGAATTTCCATACAGATCCTCTCCACAGATAACAGCAATGTTTTGGAATTTGGGAAACTGGTGCAGAAACAGATTTGAAAAATGCCCGGTTCCAGAAAGATTTCAACAATTCATTCCACACATTGACTACACTATCGATGAGGATCATGAAAAATTTGATGAAACCAAATCACAGTTCAACAATTACTTCATCAATGTCATCAAGAACTTTGGAGGACATCTTTTCATGAATTGCGAGGCTGGTTCGTTGTATCCTCACAGAGAAAGACTCGACGAGGTTGACTTTAAAACTTGCTTCAATGACTATCATGACTTGATGGTGGCAGCTCGCCTTGGAAAGGATGGCTATATCAAGCAAATTGCTGGATATCACACAGATGACAACGACACACGAGTTCGACAAGTCTCATGGGCAATCTTTGAAGTATCTTGGGGAAAGACAAAGGATCGAGATACAGATGAGATTGTTGACTTGACAAGAGCTAGGATGAGAATGACACGTGTGTGCGTTTATCACGTCGGACAGAAGTATGCATCAGACTCTGCTGGGATTGTTGGTGAGTGCTTAGCTGTTATGGCTTTTGAGTGTGCCAGATATCAAGTTGACTTCATCGCAGGTGATGGAAACAAGGCATGCTATTACAGCACACCAAAATCTCCAGGTGTCCCTACATATCAACACAGCCTTATCCAATTCTGGATTAACAGAATGGTAGGTGTTGCAACACAAGCCATGCGCAAGAATTTTGATCCAACTTGCCCTCCAATCAGGGTCAAGCATTTCATTTCTTGCAGTTATCGTGACTTGGATTTTCTTGCAACGCACTTGGATGGCATTACAACAGCAACATACACCAACGAGCTCATGAACAAGACAAATGGTAAAGGTGATTGTTGTATGTTAACAGTTGTTGAGTGGGGTCACTCACGTTTGATGTGTGAGGAACACCCAGAAGACTTTGAGGATGAAGATCACATGAACTATGTGGGTGAATTTTACTTCAAGGTAAATGAAACTTGCTTACATGGTGATCACAACATCTTCATGGTTGCTCCAAATGATCGCGATGCTCATAATCCAATTCTTATCCATCTTGATCCTTCTGATATGTCATGGAATGAACGACATCATTACAAACAGGCCTACAAGAAGAAGCAGTATGCTGATTCAAGAAAGGAAAGACAGAAGGAGAAAAAGAGAAAGGCATATGAAGATCAAGCATCGACGTATCAGGGCAACACAGAGTGGGGTGGATCCTCCTCTTCAGCGTCCAGACCATGGAGATCAAGTGAGTGGCGATGAATGAGTGTACACTTCTTTAAATGAAGATAACACAGCATGAAAAGCCGTGTACAGTTTTTCTGTGCGTTCAACTTATTTCACACAGATGGCATATACTCTTTTAGATAGAGATAATGCCACAAGTGTCTGAACTTCAATTTAATGTAAAATAGAGACTCTTGTAAATAGAGATACTATATACATTTATCTCCATGAATCATCCGGCGAGCAGACCACTCCGAATGGAGCGAACTTCAAAAATTTACCAACTTCGATTTCAGTCCATTGTTTGCTTGAATGAGCAACTTTGGAGATCCGCTATTTCCGTTTATTTCGTGATTTGGTCAATTGTTTTCGTATGACCTGAATTTCTGAATCTTGCGAACCCGAACTTTTCAATTCGAACTTTCACCGGTAGAGCGAGGCATTTTGCCTGTGGAGAGACCGTGCGCGAAGCACCATTGGTCACTACTGGAAAAATTAGCGAATCCGCTGTTCTTTTTCGACATGTCCTTAGGACATTCGCTGCTTTCACGTGTTTTTCAATTCGAAGCCACTGCGTAACTCCGGTTTCTTTTGCTATTTGCCATTGTGTAGAGAAGTCAGGAAGATACTCTTAATACCAATTGGGTACGGCAAGGCGTAGTGCTCTACTCATTGCTTTTGAATTTGTGCCTGTGTTTTTGTTTCGACCTAATACCTACATAGGTACATGCATGAGTATTGAGCACATTTATATGCGCCCTTCAAGGCTCAAGAGGTATATAGAGTAACCCTGTAGACAAGCACTGACCGGCAACAGGCTGAGAGTAAAAGAGTGCTGTCAGTGGGGAAGACGCCTTAGCTGATCTTGAAGTAGACGCTAGGGCCCCTCTTCACCCCACCCCCCCAACCCCCCCCACCCCCCCACCCCCCACCCAATGGTCACGAGCTCAGAAACCTTGTTTGCTTCGGCAAACCCCTACGGTTGACCCAACATGTTGAACAAAAAACATGGTAAATAAAACAATGGTAACCAAAAAAAGAAAAACATGATGAAAACATGGTAGAAACATGGTAGAAACATGGTAGAAACCCATTAAACAACAAAAAAACACACAAAAATAGGAACTGCAGCTTTTTGGAGGTTGTTATGGGGTAACATTCTCAAATGGGCAAATTTCAAATGTCATCTTGGGACGATCGATTCTCAGCCACTGCGACTTGCTGTCGCAATTTGAATATCATTGGATGATCCTTCGACCAAAACAATGGCGATTTGAAGCTTCTGCTTCTTGAATCCAATATTGACGTCAACTAATGTACCCTATGAAATTCATGTATCTGAATTGCGATGCTAAATGCAAAACATGGCAAAACAAACGCAACAAGTGGGGCTGGAAAGCCCCTTAACCTCCAATCAATCATTCGAAGCCCCAAATCCTTTCATCGTCCCCAATCTGTCACAAGCATTTTCCCAAGGTGCTTCTGCTCCTTCATGATATCCATGTGCCCCAATCTCAGCACAGGTCTCACACAGGTCAGCACCAACAGAAATTCCCAGGGTTTTTCCATCTGTGAGTTAGTTCTGCATCAACATACTGGAGATGTCAGGTTTCAACCAAGTAGCGTCGTATTGGAGCTGATAGAAGTTGGGTATTGGACTGGTATGCTGTGCAATGGATTTTTCAGTGAGATACTTGTTTTTTCAATGTTGCCACGGCCTGATGAGTGAAAGGAAACAAGAACACGTAAGACTGAATCATTGGTGGCTGTTCCTTGGGTACGTGTTGATAAACCCCATTCCTCACAAGCAATCAAATCACGCACAAATACCATCTCGCTTTCGCAAGTTAACAATCGCACACTATACCTCGACCCTCAATCTACCATAATTTACCCATAACATCAACGTACGGATTTGAAGTCCAGCGTCGGATTACTGAAAAGCAATGATGACAATTTGTTGTTCTTGTTGGGCTCCCAGACAGCACCTTTTTCTCATCCTTCGGCTTTTCCGGCCTTGGGGCGAGGAAAAGGAACTTGTAGGACAATCGCACTCCAAGCCACCAAGCCAGCCCAACACATCCTATGGTCCGGTACAATGGCCCACCTATGATCGAGTTGCCCCGGTTCAAGCTGGTTCCCCTCTGTTTATCTCATCATTTCCAGGTGATGTTTTTTCCACCAGACCGTTGCTTTCCACCCTTTTGGGCTTCCAAACTCGACCTCCGGCATTGCCTCCTGGGGGCAAGTGAACCCCATCAATTTCATCCAATGACATTGCAGTAAACCCATTCTTCCTATGAACCTTTCGTGAAAACCGGGATTTCTTCATGCAATATGAAGCTGGTTGGTTTCAACCAACCCCTCTGAAAAATGATGGAGTTCGTCAGTTGGGATGATGAAATTCCCAATATATCCCATATGCTCCATATCACCCAGCCTTGTAGGTAAATGTACCAGCACCATGGAGCATCTGGGTATGGAAAGTCATAAAATTCCATGGTTCCAGCCACCACCAACCAGGAAGCCATATGTTCCGAATGCTGCAAGTTTTGCTAAATGTGTAGATTTGCAAGTTTTGCTAAATGTGTAGATTTGCAAGTTTTGCTAAATGTGTAGATTTGCAAGTTTTGCTAAATGTGTAGCAAGTTTTGCTAAATGTGTAGAAGTTTTGCTAAATGTGTAGATTTGCAAGTTTTGCTAAATGTGTAGATTTGCAAGTTTTGCTAAATGTGTAGATTTGCAAGTTTTGCTAAATGTGTAGATTTGAACGTTTGGCTAAATGTGTAGATTTGCAAGTTTTGCTAAATGTGTAGATTTGCAAGTTTTGCTAAATGTGTAGATGTGCAAGTTTTGCTAAATGTGTAGAATTGCAAGTTTTGCTAAATGTGTAGATTTGCAAGTTTTGCTAAACGTGTAGATCTGCAAGTTTTGCTAAATGTGTAGATTTGCACGTTTTGCTAAATGTGTAGATTTGCAAGTTTTGCTAAATGTGTAGATTTGCAAGTTTTGCTACATGTGTAGATTTGCAAGTTTTGCTGCATGTGTAGATTTGCAAGTTTTGCTAAATGTGTAGATTTGCAAGTTTTGCTAAATGTGTAGATTTGCAAGTTTTGCTAAATGTGTAGATTTGCAAGTTTTGCTAATGTGTAGATTTGCAAGTTTTGCTGCATGTGTAGATTTGCAAGTTTTGCTAAATGTGTAGATTTGCAAGTTTTGCTAAATGTGTAGATTTGCAAGTTTTGCTAAATGTGTAGATTTGCAAGTTTTGCTAAATGTGTAGATTTGCAAGTTTTGCTAAATGTGTAGATTTGAACGTTTGGCTAAATGTGTAGATTTGCAAGTTTTGCTAAATGTGTAGATTTGCAAGTTTTGCTAAATGTGTAGATGTGCAAGTTTTGCTAAATGTGTAGAATTGCAAGTTTTGCTAAATGTGTAGATTTGCAAGTTTTGCTAAACGTGTAGATCTGCAAGTTTTGCTAAATGTGTAGATTTGCACGTTTTGCTAAATGTGTAGATTTGCAAGTTTTGCTAAATGTGTAGATTTGCAAGTTTTGCTAAGTTTTGCTGCATGTGTAGATTTGCAAGTTTTGCTAAATGTGTAGATTTGCAAGTTTTGCTAAATGTGTAGATTTGCAAGTTTTGCTAAATGTGTAGATTTGCAAGTTTTGCTAAATGTGTAGATTTGCAAGTTTTGCTAAATGTGTAGATTTGCAAGTTTTGCTAAATGTGTAGATTTGCAAGTTTTGCTAAATGTGTAGATTTGCAAGTTTTGCTGAATGTGTAGATTTGCAAGTTTTGCTAAATGTGTAGATTTGCAAGTTTTGCTAAATGTGTAGATTTGCAAGTTTTGCTAAATGTGTAGATTTGCAAGTTTTGCTAAATGTGTAGATTTGCAAGTTTTGCTAAATGTGTAGATGTGCAAGTTTTGCTAAATGTGTAGAATTGCAAGTTTTGCTAAATGTGTAGATTTGCAAGTTTTGCTAAATGTGTAGATTTGCAAGTTTTGCTAAATGTGTAGATTACAATTTGATTTGACTCAACGATGTCCCTCCATTTCAGATTGAATCTAATCTTCACATTTAGCAAAACTTGCAAGCCATTCTCCTCGCATGACCAACCCGCATCTTTGGCTCAGTGGGTCATTTCATAAAGAGCAAAGTAAATTGCTCAAAAGTAAATTGCTCAACTTGGTATTTCTGCCCAAGTTCGAAAGCATATTGATGGGGATTTCAACCAATTCCACATCTTGCTAACCATCATTTAGTGATACCACACCGTTAAAGTTCCAATCACTAGAGTAGCGAGGTAGATGTGAGCATGAAATATCTCTGATATCTGCGGGTTTCCGTAGTCATGAGGCTACCCTCTAGCAGGCCAGGTGCGCCCGGGCCAACCATGACAAGGTGCTGCCCCCACACAACCGGTGAAATGTGAACGTTGGTTTACGTTCACCCCAGGAATAGATAAATCTATGATAAACCATACAGTAAAATTGGGGATATGAACAAGCCAACTTTGCGATTTTGTAAACAGCACCAGGTTGTATGAGAATGATCCAGAATTGTGTACCATCATATCCCTACTATCCGGATATGTTGCTGGTGAAACAAACCTAATTCAACTTCCAAAGTCCAACTTTGTGATCAGAAATTGCTGAACAAAACTCCAAATGTTTGTTATACAAGGTGGTGCCCCGTCAGTTGTGTTCGTTGGTCATTAAGTAGTTCGATGTATCGACTATAATCTAGACACATATGATCAACCAACTTAGCCCTGGGAAATTTGGGCTGATATATAGTTATCCAAATTAAATTCCCATTATACCATGATTTTTTAGTGCTTGAATCACCATGTTTGTTGTTGATGTTGTTGGTTCCTCCACTTTTCATCAAATACATCCCATAGTGGTTCATATTTTATCTCCCTTCTAGAAAGAATCAACTACAAAAATCGAGATGTTTTTCAAACAAAACAAATAGATACATCTAGAAACACATCAATCTATATAGATACTCATCTTTTCCGACCATTTAAATCACCACAGTTATGGACGGAAATACCAATTATAAGTTTATAATTACTTATAACACCATTTATGGAATGTATAATCCCACAGAAATATATTATAGAAATAACTTGAAATCACATTGTTTTAGCAGTATTTAGCAGTTACAACTAATATTAACTCATAAAATGGCCATATTAACTGCACTATTTGCCGCTGAAACACGGTGAACCCCCTCCCATTTCTCTCATGGCCCGGGTTTTTTCGCCTCCGGCTTCGGCGGTCGCTGGGGACCCTGCGGCATCTTCGGCTTGGAAGGGCCTCCACGAGTCGCAATGGAAAACCATCGGATTTTTTTATGTTTTTTTTACCCAAAAAAAACAGGAGATTTAGGAGGAGTTATAGGTGTCTGTAAACTAACATAACTATGGAAAATCACTATTTTCAATGGGAAAACTCACTAAGGAGGATTTATAGGTGTCTGTTTGCCAAGTTGCTTGCTCTGGAGAGCTAGACCTGTTAACTTGTCTATGCGCAGGGTTGTGCATGTCAAATGAGCGTAGTTGACTGAGAGTTTGAATATAGGCATCCATCATCATCCATCTGCATATGTTGTTGATAACCACTGTTGCCGAGGTTTTACGGGACGTTTACGAAATTCGAGCCTGGGTATTAAGGTTCCCTTTTCAAACAGAAGTTGTCTCACAGGGTTGTTAGGTTCAGCTCTGATGATAAGACCAAGAAGTGAGATCTGACGTTGTAACCACATGGAAGAACACTTTGTTATTTCCGTGTTCAAATGGTTTCTAATTTGGTACTTGACACAGTCATTTGTCATTGTTCGCTCGATGTATGTAGGGGGTATACGTATGCAGAATCCTTCGATCGCAATCACAAGAGAGAAAGCCCAAATCGGCGGAGTTTTGGATTCCAGTGATTTGCTGACAATTTGAAACCGGCAAAGGAGTTGCTCCAGCATAACCAGGAATCGCGAGGCGCGGTCAAGTCAGTCTCCGGATTCTTGCCCAACAAAGGCTCCTTCATGGATCCTGTCATGGTTCCGACGAAGGATTCTTGCTTCCTTCCACTCTGTTGCCCAGTGGAAAGGCGTACTCCCTGTAAGACCCATCCTGTGCAGAACATTTCTCACACAAACCGAGCACCAATTCCCACTTCCCGCCTGGCACGTTGCATCCTGAGGGATGGGAAATATAGTTGTTCCCACACCTCCAACAACACATTGGCTGACATGAAGTGAAAGCCGGTGAAGTGACGATCATGGCTCCCAAGTGACTCTGGTTCCATCACACGATGTCTTTCTGGACCATCGATCCCTGGACCATTGTATCACATATGGTAACATTTGACCAGTCGGTAGCAGCATCACACTTCAGCGGCACGTGAGGCTTGCCAGAACAATGGGTTAATGACTTTTAATGGGATCTGATGGTGAGTCAATGGAATTTAATGGCTTGTAATCACAAAGCTGAAACTATATTCACATTCTCATACAGTAAATGATATTTAATTAGTTGAAACTATATTCACATTCTCATAAGTTATATAATGAACATGTGGTAAACCAAATGCCAAAAACCCCCCATTTTTAGGGATGGTAAACTACAATGAAAAAAGTTGAATCCCTGGTGCTGCTGGTTATCTCACTATGTTCGATGATTTCCCCAGCGAACTAAACCTCCATTTTCTTCGGGGATTTTCCAGCCACGCTTGATGACCGGAGGGTAATCTATATTATCCCACTATATCATCGTATCCAAGTTATATATATATATACATTATATATATACATACAATAAATATTATATACATCAAATATGTAATTATTATATATATATAAATATATATATATATATTGCATATAATCCCATTAGTCTGTTTCACCTAGATCAACTTGTAACAGCTAGTCATGGCCTGCCGGTGCCTTTGGAGGGCTGGAGGGGCCAGCCTGCCAAGCGTTCGAGCCCGGGAGACCAAGGAATTTTCCTGCACTCCTGGTGGTTTTCCAACTTCAAGCGTGCTCTCAACTATAGCGTTTGCATAAAGGTTTCCCAAATCAAGCCGTCCCAAAGAAAATAGTGTCTCCGGTGTCTCCTGAGACATTTCCTTTCACAGCACCAGAATGAACTCCTTCAATGTGTAGCTGGAAGCCATTGGGATCTCATAGCCTCTTCAACTGAATATAGCCATAGAAAGTCACCCCTTTGCAGATGAATGGCTATTGCTTTCCTGGAAACAGATTGCCAGAGGCTATGCTTCAACACTCTTGCCACATTCGTACTTTTTCTGGAACACCTTAGTTACAACTTGGTTTATGCTTTATAAAAACCCAATAGGTGTATAAAGGCAACAGCTAGCCTCGTTCCAAAGCAATTTTCGGGCGCCTCAGGAGCCGATGGCCCTGATGGCCCTGATGGCCCCGGCGGCCCCGGCGGCCCGGGCACCGAGGGTCCCGAGGGTCCCGAAGGTCCCGAGGGTCCCGAAGGTCCCGCGGGAACCGAAGGACCTACCTGAGGCGTCAGCGGGGAATCCATGGCTGGTGCTACCAAGAATGGTTTAGTCTTACCTAATGTGTAACTAGGGGTGATTGATATGAGCACGGGGGAAATTGGTTTGAGAGAATTTACAATCAGAGAATTGTAGATGCCACATGTCAAGCAATGCTGCTTTCAACCTGCAGAAAGTCCAGTCACGTCCCCATCATGGGTGCCCATCAAGAATCAGCCAATGCTTGCCACTATGGATACCAACAATTTTGTTTCTGGACTTTCAGGATCTATGTGGATACATTGTACCTTCTCTCTTGTTTGCCATGTTTTTCACTCTCAAATCAACATCAAGTCAGGGTCAAGTCATACTCCCTAATTGGAGCTTATATGGCTCGGGCATACTTCTTGTGACCATTCGGGGTACGCACAAGCAAAATACGGCGTTTGCTATACAATCAATATATACTAGGCTACGTATGGGGACCGTGGCGGTATCCATTTCACAAGTAGGGGGCCCCAAAGACGAAAAAACACCCGGAATCCGGGATGTAGACTGTAGATTCTACTGATCTCAGTTGCCTCAAAAAAATCTAGGTCTCCAACTTTTCGTAAGTTGCTTCAGTGATTTCAAACCCAAAAGCTTGGAATGCCGGGGCTCGTCGCAGGCGTGATATATACTAACATCTCACATAATTGCCACTCGCGCTTTGTCCAATGAACAGCCAAAATAGACGGTGTAGCTTGTTCATACGCAGCCAGCTCCCAAGCAGGGTCCAAGTTGGTGCACCAGATTCAATCATTCCTCATGTCCTCCTTCAACTGGCGACCTTTTGCTCGATGGTTTTGCCTTTTTGCGAATATTTAGTTGGCAAAATTTGGCAAATCTATCCCATGATATCCATAGTAAATCCCATTAAGATTCCCTTTCCTTCTCCAGTTAAACCACCCATTTCCAGCGGCCGAGTGTCGCTGGGTCCAGCGCTGGGACCGAAGGATTGGAAGTTGGCACCTGGGATTTATTTTTCGGGCGCCAAGGTGAAAATTCAGATCACCGGGATATCAAACATGTGATGGCATCAGATTGTCTATTAATTTTATTACCCCCTGGTAATTTAACATAGCTATAGAAAATCGCCATTTTTAATAGGTAAACCATCTATAAATGGGTCATTTTCCATAGCTATGTTAGTTTACCAGAGGGTATCATATTTCTCTTTTGCGAAGGTGGGTGAGAAACCGGACCCTATTTTGATATGGTGCGGCACAACGAACTGGGGCTGCACGAAATTGGGATGTGTTCACGGAGGGAATATCGGAATATCCCGCAACCTGCCACTTTCCAAGAGGACGTGATGAACAACTTGGATCCCGGATGTGACCAACTGCTAGCATCTAACTGGTGAACTTAGATATTCACGTGTTGATGAACTTTGTTTGTTGCTTATCTGCTGGTCAACATCCACCAACTTCCAAGAGGTTTTGAGCGGATTTCCCTAGGAAAACCAAGTCTGGAATGATACGTGCCACGACCCTAAGATGCAAACCTGAATGTTCAGTCCTTGGATTTGCTTCAGGAACCTCTCAAAAAAAACCTACCCTTAATCGGTTACCGGTTCCCCCCTTAGTGGATTTCGCATCGGGAAAAAAACATCAGACAATCCATGAGTCACCATTAATCACCATTAGTCACCTTGTGAAATCACCCAATCACCCTATAATCATCACTGTATTATTCTAAAGTCACCATTGTATAATCATCACTAATCAGCATTGTATAATCACCATTAATCACCATTAATCACCATTAACCACATTAATCACCATTGTATAATCACCATTAATCACCATTAATCACCATTAACCACAGTAATCACCATTGTATAATCACCATTAATCACCATTAATCACCATTAACCACATTAATCACCATTGTGTAATCACCATTAATCACCATTAATCACCATTAATCACCATTAATCACCATTAATCACCATTAACCACATTAATCACCATTGTATAAGCACCATTAATCACCATTAATCACCATTAACCACATTAATCACCATTGTATAAGCACCATTAATCACCATTAATCACCATTAATCACCATTAACCACATTAATCACCATTGTATAATCACCATTAATCACCATTAACCACATTAATCACCATTGTATAATCACCATTAATCACCATTAATCACCACTAACCACATTAATCACCATTGTGTAATCACCATTAATCACCATTAATCACCATTAAGCACCATTAATCACCATTGTATAATCACCATTAATCACCATTAGTCACCATTAACCACATTAATCACCATTGTATAAGCACCATTAATCACCATTATGGTCACCGACAGAATTATGGGAAAAAAAAACGTTCAACTTAGACAGGCGGCGCCTGCGTCCGATTTTTCCATAATTGGATTTTTCCCCATAAGGGTTCAAAATATCCCGGAAGTGATCCGAACTTTTTTTTTCCATAATTCTTGGAGGTGGCCATTATTTCCATAATTGATTTTTCCTGTGAAATCAGGGGGCTAGGGCAGATTGACCGGTTTTTCCATAATTATTTTTTTCCATAATTATTTTTTTCCATAATTATTTTTTCCATAATTAATGTTTGGGGCTCAACCTGTTGGACATGTCATGGATCCACAATTCAAACCCGTTTTTTTGGGGGGTTATGGAAATATGTATGCAAATGCAAGTATGTAGTATCAACCCAATATTTTCTATAATTCAATATTCCCCCTTAAAATGCATTCAAATTGCGAATCGATGGTAATACAGTCACCGACAGAATTATGGAAAACATAATTATGGAAAAATAATTATGGAAAAAAAAAGGTTCGTAACTTTTCTATCATAGACAGGCGGCGCCTGTAAATTAAAACGTTTTTTTTTTCCATAATTCTGTCGGTGACTGTAATCACCATTAACCACATTAATCACCATTGTATAATCACCATTAATCACCATTAATCACCATTAACCACATTAATCACCATTGTATAATCACCATTAATCACCATTAACCACATTAATCACCATTGTATAATCACCATTAATCACCATTAATCACCACTAACCACATTAACCACCATTGTGTAATCACCATTAATCACCATTAATCACCATTAACCACATTAATCACCATTGTATAATCACCATTAATCACCATTAACCACATTAATCACCATTGTATAATCACCATTAATCACCATTAACCACCATTAACCACATTAATCACCATTGTATAAGCACCATTAATCACCATTAACCATTGAAATAATCGTTATTCACCAAATCAAGCGCGCCAAAGCGACTGGACAGGTCCAACTTTTGTGCTGAACTGCCACCGCCCAACAACGCGCTGATGGCCTCACAAAAAGGAGAGCGCCATGCTATACATGGGGGATATCAACTATAAAATAACGATGGGGCCTGGGGATTTTTAACCACCAAACATGATGATGTCATGGGTTTAAAATGGTTTAAACAATCAAACATAGAGAATTTGTCAAGGAGGAATGGAAAATGGGTGTGTTGCAGAATCAAGGGTTGATAGTGATGAAATGAAACCAGGATGCTTTTTTGCATGCGATTCGGCTGTTCCCTGTTGTCATAAGATGTCATAAGAGCCCGTGCGGACACAGTTATGAAATGAGTTTCTTCTCCACGTGCGGAGGCTTGAAACCCAGCATGGCATCAATAACAAACATCACCTGAAAGTCTTGGTGTTTGATCTGACAAGTTAGTTCAACCGTTGGTTGGATAAAAATGGTCTTTACCCAATAAAAAAAGAAGATCAAGAAGGACAAATAAAAAGAAAATAGGGAATTTTATATAATTTTTATGGAATGACACAACATAAGAATCTCCTCAATCGACAATGGCAGGATTTCAATGACCTTCGTCCTTCGTCCCTGCTTTCACCCTTGTAAAGGATCGCCAAAATGGCCTATAGATACTCTTCAGTAGGATCTCATTGGATCCCTTCCTCTTTGACTCAATTGAAAACAATCATGGCAATGAAACATCTGCCATTTATAGATGAGTTTCCAATCTACATGCCCATCTTCGGGGATTTCCGAACTAGCCATGTTTGACCCCTGGGCCTTGTTCATGTCATGTTTCTGTTGGTCATCCTTCTCTTTCTCCTGGCACTCTCAGTGGTGGATCTCCATAGTGAAAATGCTTGGTCCAACATCAAGTAAATTCGGTGATTCAAACCCTACCCCATAGGATCCATGTATGCTATATATGGTAACATTTACCATCAATATACCCCCAATGTTAGCATATATACCATACATGGATCCTATGGGTACTGTATAAATCTTTGGCGTTTGAATGATTCGCCTGTTTTTTGTGTTCAACCTGTATTATATATATACCCTCTTTCTTGCGGGGTAAACCGGGTAAACGAATGATTCCATCATTACGCTGGGTGGATGACTCTATTTGGTAGTTCTGGCTCGTGTTTGCACGTACTCCCCATCATTGGGGATATGGACTCCAACCAGCATTTCAAAAAAGAAGGCTCAGCATAGCTCTACCAATGCCTCATCACAAACTAGAGCTGCAGAATCATGTAAACCCTGGGATCTCGATCTCCTCACTTCAAGGATGATCTTGGTATCCTGTCAACCCCTCCTTTGGTTGTTCAAACAGCTGCATCTTGTTGCTGAATCTGAAGAAGTCCCTGCGTTAGTGTCATCGACTCCCCATCGTTATGGATTCACCCATATGCGATTGGGCCGCGCAAATGGCTATCCAACCCACACTTGAAAACCATGTGTAAACGTAGCGAAACATGGAACATATATGGTTTCCAACCTCAGGTTTCCCGGTTTCCCGATATGTTTTTTTTAAATCTCTGGTTGGAAACGTGGAACATAGCGACCATAGCGATAGGATGATTCCCGGACCTTGGCTGCTCTCCTTTCTCTTCGAATTCGCTTGGCGCGATCCTCGAAAGTATCGAAGCAACGTCATTGCATTAGACCTGGTTCATAGGGATTCAAAACATGAATTGTGACACTTCATGATAATCCCCAATTTATAAAGGAAAGTATAACTCCCTATACTCATTCCAACAAAAATATATGTTTATCATACCACAATTACAGTTTCCTGATATTTTGGGTGGTTAAAACAACATAATTCTGGTGATTCCAGCAACGGTTGTCCACCGCTCCAAGGACCCGGCGTGGTCTGTTTCAAACTCCTCGCCAGTGGTGAGTGGAGAAGGATCCCCATGGTGGGGACAAAAGGGGCCGACGATCCCATAGGAAAATGGTGATTTAACACAAAAACATGGTGATTTCATGGGATTCATAGCTGATTTATGATAGCTAAGTTGGTGTAACTCCAAGAATGAAGTATGGTTTGTAGGGGATATATCAAACTACTTGATAGGAATAAACCAACTTATAAATGGGGAACACCACCTCGTAGAGTCAATAGATGGAGAATAACTGGGGTACAACTATGGTGAGTTTTTCACCATTTTATGCATGCCGTGTAGGTGAGTTGCTTGTGGGTTTATGGTGTGGCTACCCCAAAAGAGTTGGACGTTTTGAAATTTGGGGGCGCAGTGAGATGGGATATGGGGCCCCTGGAACTATGGTGAATCGCACCTCTAAGAATCAAGTTCTTGCTGCAATATGTGAAACAAAATCATTTGAAATCATTGGAAACACATGGAAGCTTCACAAAATGGGGGTACCTCCAAATCATCCAAGTCATGAATGAACATTTTAGATTATTTTATATAGACCATTTTAGTGCCATTAGACCATGAGTTAGTACCGAAACCCATGGTGACTTGGGGATCCCACAGTTTCAGAACCGCCACGGGTTTTGTCTTGAACTTCCATTGATATATCTTCCGATGGGCATTGAATAGCCCTAGGGATGACTTGTTTGCTCCCAATTGGCGAAACAAGATGGCGTTGCTGTGTCTAAATATTCGCACTCATCACATTGAGGGTTTGTTGTTTGATAGTATGAAAAACAAAGAAACTACACGTAATTATGAAGACTTATAAACACAAAAATCTGAATTACTGGACATCAATTAGTTAATAAATTAGTAAAGGTTTATAACACTATATAATTGCACTACATTGTATAAACTACACATATCATCTGGTTGGTGGTATACCTAGCCCTCTGAAAAATATGAGTTTGTCAGTTGGGATCATGACATTCCCAACTGAATGGAAAGTCATAAAATTCATGTTCCAAACCACCAACCAGTCATTCATCCTGTTTGGAGCTTTTTTTTCTACAAAAAACCCGCGGTAGGCGCCTCGCCCGCCTTTTTCCGGCCCAAGGAGACGTCCACGTCATCGGCCACGGTGGGGTCCTTGACCCCCAAGAAGCACCAAAAATTCGTTAATGGTTGATATTAGGTTGATGCAAATGGGATATAAACTATTAATATAAGTCGTTAAACAATTAAATTATTTATATGGGATCAAATGATCAATGATGACAAAAAATGATGTTATCATAGAGGGATATTCGGTTGATCAATGGTTGATTTTAGGTTGATATAAACTCAGCAATGATGATATAAGACTTGTTCGACCAAGGTTGATTGGCTATGAACAATAACATATCAAGGTTATGATTGGAATGATTTTCCTGGGTTATTATTGGGATTGAATACCAAGGTAGAATACCAGTAATCATATAGCCCTGGTTACTGGTTGATTGGTTTTTATTACCAAGGTGATTGGTTTAATCTTATAGCATAACCTGAGACGGGCCATAGGGAAGCCTATCAACAATGGTATTGAGAATGGCTCGAATGTACCTATAAAAATTCCTATAACAACAGCAGTTACATGTGTCTGTGCATAATATTTATAATAGAGTTGTATGTGTTATATATATATTTATAATGGTTGATGGTTTAGGTTTTACCCATCTTGAAAAATATTAGTCAATGGGAAGGATTATCCCATATATGAAATGGAAAAAATGTTCCAAACCACCAACCAGTACGTATGTATATATATATATATATATATCGGTAAAACATCATATTTCACAGAGCTAAATCAAGGCCAGCTGGCTGGGGATGATGCCCCGAATCCCAACCAACATTCCACAGTTATGGCCATGACTATTAGTTATAATGTTGGCACCTGATTAGTAGCATGGTACTCTATTGTGGCAAACTTTTTCCTCCTTATTCAGTAACCTGCTGTTTGGTGGGGGGGGCCTCTATTGTGGCAAATGTTTTTCCAGATTTTTTTTAAAAAATGTTCCTAATTAATTAATTCTTTTTTGAATTTATTTTTAAATTGGTTACTTAAAAATGTTTTTCTGTTTTTCATTTTTTTAAATTAAAGCTTTCAAATGCAAGGTTTTCCAAATAATTAGATGCCTTATTAGACCCTTATTAAAAAACAGCATCCAGACAATTTTTCAAGGGGGTACCTCATGAGTGGCTCAGTTACTCAATAATATAATTGTTTGGATGGTACTCTATTGTGAGCACCAACTTTTGGGAGTGAAAAAAAAAGCAAAACCCTTTCTCCACCTTTCTTTGGGTAAAGCTGGTGCCTTTACTTTAGAAAGCCATATTTGTGTTAAAGCTTTAAAATGCAAGGTTTTCCAAATAATTAGATGCCTTATAAAAACCCTTATTAAAAAACAGCATCCAAACAATTTTTCAAGGGGGTACCTCATGAGTGGCTCAGTTACTCAATAATATGAATGTTTGGATGGTACTCTATTGTGCCCAACAACTTTTGGGGTTGAAAAAATCAAAAACCTTCTCCACCTTTCTTTGAGTAAAGCTGGTCCATTTACTTTAGAAAACCATATTTGTGTTAAATCTTTAAAATGCAAGGTTTTCCAAATAATTAGATGCCTTATTAAACCCTTATTAAAAAACAGCATCCAGACAATTTTTCAAGGGGGTACCTCATGAGTGGCCCAGTTACTCAATAATATAATTGTCTGGATGGTATTCTATTGTGAGCACCCACTTTTGGGAGTGGAAAAAAAATAAAACCTTTTCTCCACCTTTCTTTGGCTAAAGCTGGTCCCTTTACTTTAGAAAGCCATAGTTGTGTTAAAGCTTTAAAATGCAAGGTTTCCCAAATAATCAGATGCCTTATTAAACCCTTATTAAAAAACAGCACTCAGACAATTTTTCAAGGGGATACCTCATGATTGGCTCAGTTACTCAATAATATAATTGTTTGGATGGTACTCTATTGTGAGCACCAACTTTTGGGAGTGAAAAAAAAACCTTTCTCCACCTTTCTTTGGGTAAAGCTGGTCCTTTTACTTTAGAAAGCCATATTTATGTTAAAGCTTTAAAATGCAAGGTTTTCCAAATAATTAGATGCCTTATTAAACCCTTATTAAAAAACAGCACTCAGACAATTTTTCAAGGGGGTACCTCATGAGTGGCTCAGTTACTCAATAATATAATTGTTTGGATGGTACTCTATTGTGAGCACCAACTTTTGGGAGTGAAAAAAAAACAAACCCTTTCTCCACATTTCTTTGGGTAAAGCTGGTGCCTTTACTTTAGAAAGCCATATTTATGTTAAAGCTTTAAAATGCAAGGTTTTCCAAATAATTAGATGCCTTATTAAACCCTTATTTAAAAACAGCACCCAGACAATTTTTCAAGGGGATACCTCATGATTGGCTCAGTTACTCAATAATATAATTGTTTGGATGGTACTCTATTGTGAGCACCAACTTTTGGAAGTGAAAAAAAAAAGCAAAACCCTTTCTCCACCTTTCTTTGGGTAAAGCTGATGCCTTTACTTTAGAAAGCCATATTTATGCTAAAGCTTTAAAATGCAAGGTTTTCCAAATAATTAGATGCCTTATTAAACCCTTATTAAAAAACAGCATCCAGACAATTTTTCAAGGGGGTACCTCGTGAGTGGCTCAGTTACTCAATAATATGAATGTTTGGATGGTACTCTATTGTGACAAGCAACTTTTGGGGTTGAACAAAATCAAAAACCTTCTCCACCTTTCTTTGAGTAAAGCTGGTCCATTAACTTTACAAAGCCATATTTGTGTAAAATCTTTAAAATGCAAGGTTTTCCAGATAATTAGATGCCTTATTAAACCCTTATTAAAAAACAGCATCCAGACAATTTTTCAAGGGGGTACCTCATGAGTGGCTCAGTTACTCAATAATATGAATGTTTGGATGGTACTCTATTGTGCCAAGCAACTTTTGGGATTGAAAAAATCAAAAACCTTCTCCACCTTTCTTTGAGTAAAGCTGGTCCATTTACTTTACAAAGCTATATTTGTGTAAAATCTTTAAAATGCAAGGTTTTCCGAATAATTAGATGCCTTATTAAACCCTTTTTAAAAAAACAGCATCCAAACAATTTTTCAAGGTGGTACCCCATGAGTGGCTCAGTTACTCAATAATATGAATGTTTGGATGGTACTCTATTGTGCCAAGCAACTTTTGGGGTTGAAAAAAAAATCAAAAACCTTCTCCACCTTTCTTTGAGTAAAGCTGGTCCATTTACTTTAGAAAGCCATATTTGTGTTAAATCTTTAAAATACAAGGTTTTCCAAATAATTAGATGCCTTATTAAACCCTTATTAAAAAACAGCATCCAGACAATTTTTCAAGGGGGTACCTCATGAGTGGCTCAGTTACTCAATAATATGAATGTTTGGATGGTACTCTATTGTGCCAAGCAACTTTTGGGGTTGAAAAAAATCAAAAACCTTCTCCACCTTTCTTTGAGTAAAGCTGGTCCATTTACTTTAGAAAGCCATATTGGTGTTAAATCTTTAAAATGCAAGGTTTTCCAAATAATTAGATGCCTTATTAAACCCTTATTAAAAAACAGCATCCAAACAATTTTTCAAGGTGGTACCACATGAGTGGCTCAGTTACTCAATAATATGAATGTTTGGATGGTACTCTATTGTGCCAAGCAACTTTTGGGGCTGAAAAAAAAATCAAAAACCTTCTCCACCTTTCTTTGGGTAAAGCTGGTCCATTTACTTTAGAAAGCCATATTTGTGTTAACTCTTTAAAATGCAAGGTTTTCCAAATAATTAGATGCCTTATTAAACCCTTATTAAAAAACAGCATCCAGACAATTTTTCAAGGGGTACCTCATGAGTGGCTCAGTTACTCAATAATATGAATGTTTGGATGGTACTCTATTGTGCCAAGCAACTTTTGGGGTCGGAAAAAAAAACAAAACCCTTGAAAGTAAATTGAAATCAATTGAAAGTCAATTGAACGTAAATTGAATTCAATTAAAAGTAAATTAAAATCAATTGAAAGTAAACTGAAATCAATTGAAAGTAAATTGAAATCAATTTAAAGTAAATTGAAATCAATTGAAAGTAAATTGATTTCAATTAAAAGTAAATTGAAATCAATTCAAAAAAATTGTTGAGGGTGGGGGGGCGCAAAAAAAATGGTCAGTTATTGAGTAGACTAAAATTGTTTGAGGGGGGGGGGGCCCGCCCACTAATCAGTCGACAACATTAACTGGTTATAACTGGGTATATAAGTGGGATTATACATTCGATAAATGGGGTTATAAGTACTTACAACTGGTAAAGGGCCATAACTGCAGTGAGGTCTCTTTGCTCTAGGCCTTTGTCCAAAACATGCTGCGGGCTTGCTGTGCGAGAGTCCTCCACCTCCTCCGTCGAAGATTAGTATTTACTGTATCTTCTACCGGTTGCTCGTTAGCGTACACCAAATCATCGTTGAAGCCAGGCTAGTGGTACAGGTCTCGGGCACTTCTTTTTTGTTACGTTACATGTGTATAAAATTAGAATCAACTAAATATTATATATATAATATTAATATAAAATAAATATGTAACATGTACCATATGCTCCATGTATGGGATACGATTATTTACATGTTCACCCAATAAAAATCAAATGCGAGTAATTATAAGATGCATGAAGCATATGGCTATATCAATTACATACATAGGTAGATATGTAAATGATATATATATATATAGACAACCATAGACAACCCCATCTCCAAAGATATGATTTATTCCCAATTGATCGGAATCCATTGCAATTCTCATAGGAGCAGCATGATTATAAACTATTGGATTTTGATTCCAGGATAGCCCTCTACATCATGAAAAGGGCTCACTTGCGCATCCAAGTTACAGGTGACTTGCAATCCATCAATAACTAACTAACTAGCAAGTTATGAGGCTTAAACAGCCACAAACGGGTTACACAGGATCACATCGACCCAATATGACCCAATATATTTGTTTTTTGGTGAACCAATGGTGGTTATTATCTAATATATACATGGGGTTACAATCAAAGAGTCAATGTGGAATCAATCATCTGCTTTGGAGTTGTTCACCAAAGAGCAACGATGTCGCCTAAATTGCACTTGTTTAAAGACTACATATCTACCCCAGAGTGGTGTTGGTTTTACATATCTGGGCAAGGGTCAATTTCTTTTATCAATGAAAAAACTTCATGGCACTTACACAAACAAGCAATGACACGGAAACTGTTTCCCATACAATTCCTGCAAAATTATATTAACTAATGTGGGTAAAACAAGAACAAACCATTATCGCCCAAATCACAACAAATAGGTGCTATAAACCATTCCCAGATGAGTGGTTTCTGGCATTGTTTTACCTACATTACATCAATGTTTACGCAAAACAGAAGAAGGACAGAGCAGGCGCCAGATTTTTTCGCAAAGAGGTGAACACCCACGAGTTTGCAACATCAGGTTCGCGATTGTTGGAAGGACCAGTAGGGCCAATAATTTTCTATAGTATAATTTTAATAATCATATTTACAGTCTCGGTTTCTGTCCACCCATTTAAAAGCCATAGATCAACCTCCACTAGTAATCAATCAGTCATTATTGTGTAAAATAAGCTCAGGGGAACCATGGCACATCGGCAAAAATGAATGGTTGAATATCATCCTGTTAATTCTCCCCTTTTTCAAGCACTGCAAAATTGGAGCTCATTTCTACCAAATCAACAAAAACATCTGGGTTTGTCTGCAAATGGAGTACCCTAAAGTCGCATGGTTCATCATAATTGTCCTTATTCAATGGCTGGGTTTCCCCATTGACAAAGCCATCTGTGCTTTCTGGCCTTCAGCAACTCAGGGCCATAGACCGAGGACCTCGAGAGATACCGAAACGTTGAGGAGCCGGGATTTGTTCAGCAATACACCCTCTGGTTATTTAACCATCTATACCATGGCTATGTTAGTCATAACCAGAGGGTGGGAATATCTACTTGAACAATGATCCATGAACAGATCATAAGCAAAGATGGTATTGTCAGATAAGATATGCATAGATATGCCAACAACATCCAATCATGACCTACTTGATATTTGAGCCAGCCATGCGAGTATTCATCGACTCACGTCGATCAAAGCAACACATACCTTTTTTCGTGGCCAAAACAAGTACAGTTAAGGCCATGACTATTAGTTATAACATGTTATAACTGGTGATCTCTATGAGAAGAAATACATTCCATGTTTATGGGCTTAGTTCAGTAAACTGGTATTTCCCTTGGCCAGGTCCTGTAGGACGGGCCCAGGCTGATGATCGGCTCCCCTGGGCTGCCCCACATGACACCCTCGGCACCGGCGCTCGCGTCCGGTGAAGCTTAAAACGGCGCCGGATCCAAAGACTTCCTGGCTGAATCCACAGGGCATGGTATCATGGGGATATAGTGTGCTGAAATATGATGGGATATTTTTTGGGGTAAACAAACATAGATGTGGAAAATGATGGAACAAAAATATGGTTTCCATAGGAAATGGTCTTCAAATGGTGGGTTTTCAACATCTATGTTAGTTCGCCGGAGGGAATAAACAATCAAGTTCTCTAGATCCCCCATCTCCAGAACGAAAAAACGATGGTTATGCCAGCAAGAAAGTTCTTCTGAAGGATAAAAAATATAACATCCTCCCAACTAACAGAGACCCTCAGAACAGAGGAAAAGTAGAATTTCAAGCCCCATCTTGCCATGTGGGACACCCTCCGGTAAGTTTCTGTCACCAAAGAAAATATGGAAAACACACCGTCACCAATCATTTTTCTTGGGAATCCATGAGTTTTCCATATCTGTCCATATCTACTGTATATTCTTTTACTGGAGAATAAACCCATCCAGCGATTCTGTGATCAATTTACTCCAAGAAACTCTCAGAAAACATCCTGAAACCACAGGATGCAGCCCAATGACCACCCACTGACCCAAGAAAGCGTGGCTTTCACTGACATGCGGAAAAACAAACAAATACAATATCCGTTTGATTGTTTCTGGGGACAACAAAATGATTAAAGATAGAAACCAATCAATTGTGAAACCACGTGCAAATGCAATACCTCTAGTTCCATCTACCTTCATGAGAAAACGCCAATCATGAATTCACATTCAACCATGGCAGAACATGCCAACCTTGGATATTCCTCCAAAAAGTCCATGTAATATCAAACGAGAAACAAACAAGGACCACAAGCCATCTCCAACAACTGGAGGTTTCCTGAATTAGAGGCACTCCTAAATCATCCCTTTAATAGGATTTTCCCATAAATTCAAAAACCATCCATTTTGGGTACACCCAATTTGGGAAACTCCCAAGTAACTATTCACCTGTATCCCCAAAGTATCCAGACATCCTCTCATCCCGGTGCCAACTTCGACGCAATTTTTTCACAGGGTGCCCGGTGCCAAATTCGCGCCAAGCCCCCAAATTCCGCCTGACGGGATTTTTTGGGTTGGTAAACACCCTAAACATCCTGAAGGTTAAACATTTGGTATGGTTTTTCATTATAAGGGATAACAATCAAGACAATATTCGACGATATAGGATGAAAGGATAACAAAAGCACATCTCTGTCGCTATCTGTCCGGCAGCCGCAGCATATTCTACTTACCATGAGACTATCGTCATGATTGTCATCGTTGAGCAGGGGGTCCTTTCCAACGCGGAAATTTGACAAAAACATCGGGCGTGAAGGGAGAAAGATGGGACAATTCAACGGAAGTAGACATTGTTTTTTTATTTCTGGCCCGATAAGGGATTAGAACTCATCTCATAATTAACCATTCGCCAGACTCCAACACTGGCTCCCGATAACTTTGCCATACCAGCCGGATATAGCGATAGCTCCCACTTGCCCAACATTTTTTCCTCTGATCGCTCTGATCGCAAGCATTTTCTGGAAGTCGAATTGTTCATCGAATTCTGCGACACTTTCGCACTGCGTCCACTCAAGAAACCCTGCACTGTTCAAATAGCTCGGGACAAAATCCTTGTACCCCTGGCCTTGACATCCCTCTATGCATATATTGTAAAACACATAGGTTTCAACCCAGCAAATGACTGCGACTGCGGTCACCATGTCTTTCTTCCACAGTGTAACCTGGATCCCTCCAACTATCTCTAAGTGTGGTAGCTGCTAATTACTACAACCACTGACGCCTTTCCTCTTCAATCTGAGATACAACCGAATCGAAAGCAGTGCACATAGTTCGAAATCATGTGTTTTGCGACCAATGACAAAAAACAACGTGTTTGATTTGTTGCTCCACTTTACTGTACGAATCCAAAAGGAAATGAGGTTTATGGCCTATGACATTAGGTTTATCACCTTGCAAACTTTGGTGGGTCACCCCAACCCAGATGTTTCTTCTTCCACACGTTTTCCTAAGACTGGGATGTTTCAGTCTCTCCTAAGTCTCTCCTGGCCGCAGCTTCAAAAAACTTCACGGACCGTGCTTCCCATGACGACGCTTGGACCATTTGGCATTCACCAAAGACAGAGGGTCACCTGTGTGTTCAGTCATGTTTCCTTCACAAACTCGAATGCGCTTGTCATTTCACCCAATACAAAAGTATACATATATCATATATAGTATATATTATGTTGCAAATAGTACGTATATATTACTTAGATATATGTTTATCTAACGTACTGGTAGGAGCCCACCACTGTAGAACTATGTCAAAAGCTCCAAGAGACTGCACGTTTTTCAGATCAGTGCACCACAACAAAAAAGGGCTCTCCGCTGCAAGAAAGAGCTGATTCAATGTCTATGGTCACCCACTTCCACGATTGTATCTTAGAATATGTACATACTGGCAGCAAGTGTAGACTAATTATCTATTATGAAATTATGAATATCTAGAGGATACCCTGCAAGCAAACTGACACTACTTCATTGTGAGTCCATTACGAACTACATCACTTTCTGCCAAAGCATCAACCAACCTACCCGTCACATCCCTTCAGCATCTGTTTCTGTTCATCAAAAAACATCCACTGCCGTCATCACTGTCATGTCGTCACCAAAGCAACTTGGTGTTCTTAATGATGTCCGCAAACGCCGGCGCCAGCTTACAGAAACACTCCTGGGACAGACAGATGAGTTTCAAAGGATCAGAGAGTTGGAAAAAACAAATACAGCGATGAGAAGAAATATAATGTGGGAAAAACAATAATAAACCACCCATTTTGGAATGGTTTATAGCACCTATTTATGGTGATTTGGGTTATTATTGTTTTACCCACATTATGGTGATGAACCATGCCTAATTTGACAATTTCAGTGCCTTTTCAATTTCTCAACACTGGATGAATCACTAATTGTAACATTGGCATTGCCACGTTAATTCCCCGTTGTCCCATGAACAAAAGCGGTGCCACCATCATGGGGGTGGTTAGATATTCTCCCACGATCAGGGTTGAACCCAGCACCTAAGGTACGTGTGGGTGGTAACTTGGTACAGGAAATAAAGAGGAAAACTCAAGCTGGTTGGTGGTTTCAACCCCTCTGACAAATATTATCAGTCGGGATGATTATTCCCAACTGAATGGGAAAAATGAAACATGTTCCAAACCACCAAACAGCAAGAATTTCCGAAATCTTTATGTCAATCATTCACCTAGAAAGGGAGCAACTTGGATGATAAAGTCGGAGTACCAAATCACAACAGCCTGGAATCCGGAACCCTGCCCTACTACCAACCAGGTGGATCTACCACTGGTGGATTCGTCGAAAATTTCCACCACGGAACCCCCAAGGCCTGCGGCCTTAGGAAACCCCCTTGGTGATGCACCATCAGGGCGACCGGTTTTCATGATCCGATGATCCTCCAAGTACTGTACCGAAAAACCTCTAAGTATGGGATTAACCACAAACTCAATCGTGAAATTGGGTAATAATGTCCATTTGGTAAAAATAGAGGGGGCGGATTGGTATACCATCTATCATCATTTACCTGTTAAAGGGGTAAGCAATTCTTCTATTAATCAACCAACCAATGGGAAAAGGACATCTATGTTTACCTCAACAAATTTCAAAATCCAACCACCTTAGCGATTTGTGGGATGATCCTCCAAGCTATCTTGGTCTGTAAACCCAATAGCGATAGCAACTATAGTTATTGTACAATACACCGCTGAAATTTGGGTATAAACCCAGAAACTTGTTCTTGCTATAGGTATTTAGGCACCAGAAACCCAGTGAAATGTGGGTAATCTAGAAACTTACGTTCTTGCGCCTGAACATAGTTATTACGTGTTTTATCATGTTTTTAGAAACCAAATCACCCAATGGTGACATGGTGAAATTTGGGACTTCTAATGGTGAAAAAACCCCGAAATTCTATCCTCCCAGGGGCCCTCGGCCTTAGTGGCATACTTCATGCCGTTGGTCTTGCGTCCCGTAGCTGTGATGCGACCACCACTGATGCGACGCATCAGGATGGCCTAAAAGCTGGAAGATCCTAGAAATCCATGGGGAAATCTTTGGATCATTAGAAAAATCATTGGAAAAATCTTTTGGGCAAAATCATGTTAATTTTCCTATGGTTTATAGCTGGAATAATCAACACGAATGAAGGATTTTCCTGCACACCATATTTGATTGGTGGGTGGTATTTACCGAAGCATCAGCAATAGGGATCTTAGCGTGAAAAATAGGGATTTAGTGGGAAATTGAAATATATCACCAACCAACCGATTTTGGCATATGCTCCCCATTCAAATGACCATCTTAATGGGGATAATATGTGGCCGTGTCTGAAAACGGGAGGCCATCTCGCCGATTTCAATGAGAACATTTGAGGCTCTCAATTCTGAAGCATCAATTTTTGGGCCCATGTTCAGATAAAGCCGTACTCAGATGGAAGATAAACTCACCACTTTTTATGAGGAGATGTACGGGAGACGTGAAATAATGGGATTATTGGATGGTATACTTAGACTTGTACTCAAATGGGGCATGGGATGATTTTATTGATTTAATGGTGACTTCATATCTACTCAACGGAAAATACCGGAGGATATATCTTATGGGGTCATTGCTTGATATTTCAGTATACACCCAACCCCCAAACTAATAGTTAGCCGGGGTCTTGTTTGCTTTTAATGGGTGTTTTGGAATTCAATTGCTAGGTTCTGCGTATGGTGTATGTAGACACAAAGCCTCCATTTTGTGTTTCCTCGAGCAAACCAGGCTTCCCCCATGTTTGTTGTTATATACCCTCTGATCATTTAACATAACTATTGAAAATCACCACTTTCAATAGGTGAATCATCTACGAATGGTCCATTTTCCATAGCCATGTTAGTTTACTGGAGGGTAAATGCCAATCTTGTGGGTCAACTGGTCAAGTAAGAGTACGACGGGCCAGGAGCTACCCATAAGTGGTGCCCACAAGTGGCTTTAATATCCCCAGCCTAGCTTGGTATCTGATGCATTGCCCGGGGGAAACTACCGCAGATGTATAGTTTCCCTAAGAAAATGATCTACAATTTTTTGATTTTTCCACATGACCCAAAAAATATGAAGAGATCCACATGACCCAACCTTTGTTTCGTTGAGGGGTCTTCAAGATCCAATGGCTTTTGGAAGGGGGATCTGCGACGAGGCGACGACCGCGGTCCCCGCGATTCCGATCCGTTTTTACCTCACCCCATATACAAAGCATATGTGGTTAATATATATATATATATATACTGTTAATAATGGTTAATTTAATATATGGTTATTATATGGTTAATGATGGTCAATCGTAATCTGGTTGGTGGTTGACCTACCCCTCTGAAAAATGATGGAGTTCGTCAGTTGGAATTATTGTTCCCAATATATGGACAAATATAAAATGTTCCAAACCACCAACGAGCCTATGTTTTGACCTACCCAAATCATATCGTTGCTTGTGCCATGTTGTGCTTATATGCAATTATTTAATGGTTAGTTTCAGCCCGAGTTTTTGCAAACCCCTCACCCCCTATAGCGTTGGGCTACGTGATCACGCTAATTTAATCATAATCTCCTAGTTTGGGACAAACCCACATCATGCCCTACCAAGCCAAAAACGCTCACACACACTCCACAGCTTCAAATATGATTTTCCCCATTCAGATGGCTAGAACATCGACAAACCCATTCGGATTGAAACTGGGCAACACCCCAAAAGTGCAAGTAAAACATATATAATTAAAAAATAACTTAAAATACATAATATATGAGGTTCTAAGCCAGTGGTTTGCTGGTTGGTGGTTTTAACCCTCTTGAAACATATTAGTCAATGGGAAGGATTATCCCATACATTATGGAAAATAAAAACTATTTGAAACCACCAACCAGTTTTTCTTTCCCCTAAATCTTCACAGTTTGATAAATCCAAGCCCACCACCATAGGCTTCCCAAACGACAGCGACCGCGGCACCGAGCGTAGCAGGAGCGTAGTCGAGACAGCGCCGCCGCTCTTGCCCTTGCAGATGGAGGAGACGCGGTGCCAGAAGCAGCTGGGGGAGCTCCAGTACCTTGACTGCGGCGTCGAAAGATGAAGATTTCACCAAGAACCAAGAATGGATTTGGGAACTGCAATGTGGAAATATGTGGAATACATCAAAAACGGCAAATCATCAAGAACAGATATAGGAATTAACCATATTTAAGGAACAAAAGAAAGATTCACGAAGAACAAATGGGGTCTAACCAAGAAACACTTTCTTTCAACTCAAGGCAGAAAAACCACCCGTGATGATTCAGGCTGAAGCTCGGATATCCTTTTTGAAGACCTGGGACATATTCATTAAACGAACAAAGGTTTGCCCAGGAAGTGCGCAAATTTTCTGTAGGTGCACAATAAGCCATGAGACTTATTGGAACTATAAACCAACAGAAGCCGATCATAAATTACTGAATGGCCTACTTTAAATTACATTCCATTTGTTTATACCTTTTGTTTTCAAGCGCTATGATGCCAGCATCGCCAAGGCGTCAGACTCGCCATGGTTTGTTTTCTCTCGTACGCAAGGACACGGTTGAGATGGATCACGACCGGAGCTTGCAACTTCCGTTGAGCTGTGCTGTAGTAAACACGGCGGACGAGGACAGTCCAGGCACCACTGGGCAGTGATATGTACTGCATCAAGGAATCATCGATAGGATTGTCGAGCATCCTGGCCCACCTCAAGTAGTTACATCCCATTTGTTTCTAAAACTTGGGAATGTCTAAAACTGGGGGTATCCCCCCAAAAATCCTCATTTCATAGGGACAATTGAATATATGATTCACCACCAATCCAAAATTAACCATCAAATTTTGGACATGGTTGGACCATATTCTCAGACAAAACCATGCCAAACCTACACCGGACATTTGACAGGTACAATTATGATTACCATCTGGTTATGACTAACATAGCCATGGAAAATCCCTCATAAATGGAGGTTTTAATGGGAAAATCATCTATAAATGGGCCATTTTCCATGGCTATGTTAAATAACCAGAGGGTAACATTGATTAACCATCGAATGTTGGAGCAAATGTTCAGACAGATCCGAGGTGCCAATCGCCAGGGCGGAAGGTGAAACGCTTGGTCTTCGTCGCGCCGGTCCTGACAGTTACGTAACGGTCGTAACGGGTGTAGGTCACAGCAGAAACATGAGGATTTTTGGGGTTAAGTATGGTTAAGTTGGCTTCACTTGGGTTAGAATTGGTGAATTCTTCGGTAAATTCATGGATTCATTTTTTTCTTGGATGGGTAAAAATGGATCTGCAATGTCGGAATGATATGGGACGCAGACTGGGGATCATCATCCCACAGTTAAAACCCTTTACCAGTTTTTTTTCATGGAAAACCCATTGGAAAAGTGTAGAAAAACCATAGGACAATGGTTTTAAAGAGGGTTATCATAAACCACACATGGGGTTCTGTATAGCTGACATCCATAACTGGTGTTTTCGAGCCATAACTGCAAATATGTTTTTTTTCTCCGAAAAACCGACGCCACGAAGCAGTGACAAAATCACCCCACGATTGCGCAGCGCTCATCTCAGAGGGCTGAGACTTGAACACTTTCAACCCCGAGGGTTTTGGGGTTTACAAAAAAGGAGATGGATGAAACAGTTGAAATATCATTGGAATATCGGATCAGAATATATCAACATATATATATATGTATCGGAATATCATTGACATGTAACTTGATACCAGGTTTTTGCCGCGTATGCGAAGTTCCCTTGAAGTGTTGGGAATATAGTAGCTTCTAGTACACCCAGTCGACTCGCTTCCACACACGCTAGGCATCAACAATTTCACATACTATGTTCATAAAGTCCCTTGATGTTGTTCCCTAATGTATCCTTATGTTGTTTCCTTTTGAATGGCTTGCAACATTCCCATACCAATGGGTGCCGTACATACCAATGGATGTGCCCAAACAACTGATGACAGAAAGTCGGTGTGCACCACCTGGATGCCACAATTCCATCCCGTTCTTATTGATACTTCCTCGGTAAAGATACCCCCTGGTAAACTTTTACATAACCATGGAAAATCACCATTTTTAATGGGTAAATCCACTATAAATGGTCATTTTCAATAGCTATGTTAGTTTACCAGAGGGTAAATAAAAATAGACACAATTTCTTCCGGTCTAGATGATTTCGTGCCTGGGAAAATTCACATCGATAACGGGGGGGGGAAAATAATGGGCGTCATATTCAAATGGCAAAAACATCACCAACGGGAGCGTTTGTCTTGCCATGTGCATTTATCAAAGGGTCCGCCAAACATCGCCCCATTCTGCATCCCCTCTGGTAATCGAACATAGCTTTGGACACCCACCAGCTTGATATGCAAATCAACAAAATATATAAGCGGGCAATGTTCCTATGAAATCCTATCAAAGTCGATAAACAAACAAAGCGCATAGCATTTAATCCGATCAAAGTTCCATTCTAGATCCTTAAATCCTCAGTTTCTTTGTTGTTGAACTATCAAATGACAGAAACCCAGACCTACTCCTTACCATGGGGAAAGCTTTCGCCATCCGAGCCACTCGTTGTCGACGGTTTCGATCTCCACGGTGCGAGTGCCTTCCTTAGGTCGGCACGGAGATTCAAACACGGTGATATATAGCCAATTGACATGAACCATGGATTCGATATTATATCACATGTATATAGCCGTCGACTTGTACTTAGAATAATTTTTGGAAAAAACATGTGTTCCCAAGTTGCAGGGAGACTTGTTCTAAGTACTGGTTAGAACATGGGTACTTAGAACAAAAATCAGGTACTTAGACAGTAAACAGAACAGCAGTACTTAGAACTATTTGGGTGTGATGTTGTTTGATTTGTGATGAGTGTTGTTTTGGTAGGTTACTTGCGGATCATATTTCTTGCAGCGACATGTCTTCCGCAGTACATATAGCACGATAGTGTATATCAAGTTGATAGTAATGAGTGGGTAGCAACCACGTGCAAAAACTTATTTTAGCTTGCAGGAACACATATTTGGAGCATGCAAAACGGTCCTGATATATGAGCTACATGTGGCAGTATGAAGTTGATAGTGATGAGTGAGTAGCAACCACGTGCAAAAACTCATTTTAGCTTGCAGGAACACGTACTTAGAACATGCAAATTGGTCGTGATACGAGCTACACGTGGCAGTATGAAGTTGATAGTGATGAGTGAGTAGCAACCACTTGCAAAAAAACATTTTAGCTTGCAGGGACACACACACTTAGAACATGCAAATTGGTCGTGATACGAACTACACGTGGCAGTATGAAGTTGATAGTGATGAGTGAGTAGCAACCACGTGCAAAAACTCATTTTAGCTTGCAGGAACACGTACTTAGAACATGCAACGCGTTTGTGATATGAGCTACACGTGGCAGTATGAAGTTGATAGTGATGAGTGAGTAGCAACCACGTGCAAAAACTTATTTTAGCTTGCAGGAACACATATTTGGAGCATGCAAAACGGTCCTGATATATGAGCTACATGTGGCAGTATGAAGTGGCAGTATGAAGTTGATAGTGATGAGTGAGTAGCAACCACTTGCAAAAAAACATTTTAGCTTGCAGGGACGCACACTTAGAACATGCAAATTGGTCGTGATACGAGCTACACGTGGCAGTATGAAGTTGATAGTGATGAGTGAGTAGCAACCACGTGCAAAAACTCATTCTAGCTTGCAGGAACACGTACTTGGAACATGCAACACGTTCGTGGTATGAGCTACACGTGGCAGTATGAAGTTGATAGTGATGAGTTAGTAGCAACCAAACATCAATGGCATATGGTCATGCACAACAGGTATTCGCACCTGAATATACAATATCGATAGAGCAGCAGCATACTCATATGATATATGTGGGTGTTGTAGCCGAACTTCTTGATGTGAACCATTCTTTGTCTCTCAAGGGTTGATGAATGTCATGCAATATATATACTGTATATATGTTCTAAGTACAGGGTTTTTTTCTAAGTACAGTTATTCTAAGTACCAGATTCGTCTCGTAATGGCTTTATTCTAAGTACTGGTTTTCAAAATTTGGAAAAAACTTTTTATTCTAAGTAGGAGTCCGTGATTGTATCTATATATATACACTGTGTAAATATATATATATATACTCTATATATATATATATGCTGTGTATATATATATGCTGTGTATATATATATGCTGTGTATATATAAATATAAACTGTGTATATATATATACACAGCATATATATATATACACACACTGTGTATATATATATATATGCTGTGTATATATAAATATAAACTATAAACTGTGTATATATATATATATATACGTATTCCCAATTGGCTACTGAACATGGTTGTCCAAAAAGCAATTGCAACATGAATTAAAATGAGCCTCCCCCTTCCGATCTCAAAATCAGGACTAGGGGGATAGCAACCATAAAACTATGTATTTAAACTGGCCAAGTCGGAGATAGCCCACCCTCAGGTTCACAGCTGAGTCCGAGCTTCCAAGGTCAAGGCCATGAAACAAATGGACGGTCCACCGTCCACGTGCCACGGAATGCCGGCCTCGACATGTCCTGCTTTCATCGCCGTCTTCGCGGTCTTCGCGTCCGCGGCGTCGGAGCCCGAGCCGTCGTCGTTGGAGCCGGTGGCGTTGGCGTCGTCGTCCGGGTGCTCCGGCAGCGGCGGAGCGTTCTGGTGCGGCCAACGACGTTGCAGGCACATGTAGGGGAAAATGGCGTCCTGCAGAGCTCAAGTTGGGCAAATTCTACAGCCCCCAAGATGGTTTACTGTTGGTTTATAAACTGGTTTACTATGGTTTATAAAAGAAATATATACATATATAGTTAGCTAGGTTTGTAAACCGACTTCAAACTGGGGGCAACCACATTGTGCCAAGGTACTAAAATGTGTTGCGTTGGAAAAGCCATCGAGAAAAGCCGGGGTCTGGAATGGTCATTCCAGGTTGACTAGTAAATTACAGATGATTTTCAAAGGACAAACACAGGCATTTCATTGGTAATCCATATATCCATATATATCCGAAATAATTTCTGCTATGAAATTCAGTTGTAGACTCTTGTTTTCTTGAAACAAAATCACCATTTCTTTATTGAACAATTACTCATTATCATTATTAATCAGTGGTGGTCACATTCCACCGTAAAGTTCCTGGGATTCACATCCAAAGACCAGCCTTTCGACGGGAAGCCCATCCGGCACGTTCCACCATTTTTCGAGCTGTTTGTTTTTTCAAAATTCCCTTCTGTAATCAACGTGACATGCTCATATTAATATGTATATATAATATATATCATATAATATATATATATATATATTGTAATTATATATATATATATGCATTTAATTGATTATAATTGCATATATATATATATATCTTCTATTAGTAATTAGATTATATACTAATTGTCCAGCTAAAAACCTGCACTTGTATTGGATTTCCCATCCAGCCATGTATGATGACACCTCTGGATCCCCAGCTTCTGGGTTGAAATGGGCCCTGTGAGGTCAACAAAGTCTGGAGTGTCATTGGGTTGCTGGGAAAACCTACAGGAAACCATGGCTTTGACCCCCCAAATTGCTTGGGGTTTGCTGCTGGTTTTCTCTTTCAATGAATTCTGGAAACGTCATGAAATGGCCATTGTTTATCTAAAATGATGTAGGCAATATCCCTTTTCTATACCCACTATATCACCATTATATGACAATGTTTTCCCAGATAAATCCCCATGTTTTGTGATCAATTCCTAATTTAATTGATGGTTCAATCGAATCGGCTATATAATATGATCTAATTACTATCAATTGGATATCGTTTGCCAGTGCTTTACCATAATTCTAACTTGGATAAAGTATACGTAGTTTTCATATCCAGATCTAGGGTTGAACTGAACTGTTTTTCAGCCAACTTAACTAAGAAAAATCACCAGAAAATCAATGATCTCATCATTTTTTTCCTGGTAAATCCTCCTGCAAACTAATATATAGACCTGGAAACATCCCCCGTTTGTAGATCGTTGTATGTCAGTTTATCCCAGGGTAGATCCCCATTTTTCTTGTGTTTCCCAAGTAGATTCTATATTTCTCTCCATTTTCCTAGGCCAACGCCTCCATTTTTCGCCCGGCCTTGGCCTGTCGGGCTGCGAAGGCTGGCACCGGGCCCTTGGCGGAACTGTGGGTGGCATCCATCAACTTCTCCACCTTCTCCCTGGCCGTGGATGCTGGGAGTGTTTGAGTTCGCTTGGTGAAACCGTAGTTTTAAGAGTTGTTAATTTGAAATGAGGATAGATTGAATATAAAGAAAGCAGAATATATATATATATATAAAGTAATTTACATATATAAACCGTGTAAACCATTAAGTTGGTCGATATATTTCCCATAAACCATGGTTAACCTACTGAACTACACCAACTTAGCTAAGTTTGGGGCACCATGTAGAAGATCGTAGGGGAAATTGTGTGAGGATATTCCGTGGGATTTTTGGTAGCTAACCAATGAAGAATAGGGATTTCATGGCATGGTGCTTCAGTTTCAATTGTGTTTAATCAAGTTTAACGTGTTTTAATAATCGATAATTGTAGGTCTTTGACGGGTTTATATTAGGGTAAACTATGGCTGTATAGGCTATACAACTGTAGGGTTTATTTGACGGATTTATTTTGACTATAACGACTGTAACCATTTTCCTATGGTTTTCCTATGGTTTTCCTATGGTTTTCCTATGGTTTTCCTATGGTTTTCCTATGGGCCTTCAACAACTGTGGCATCTGCTGCCGAGCGTCAGCATTTCCGGATTGTTCTCCAAGAGTTCGTCCACCACAGATCTGACCTGGCGCAGTTAATCAATGATTTTTTCTTGATCCAAACAATGGTGAATTGATGGTGAATTGATGGTTAATGGTTAATTAATAGTGTATAATGATGGTGAATTATGGTTGATGATGATGAATGATGGTTAATTTTAGTGGTGCTAAACGCAGGGAATGAGGGAATGATCCATGATAACTATTAATAAGGATCCCAGCAACCCCCATTCCCATCCATTCCCTACGTTTAGCACCAGTAAGACGATTATCCTTCAGTAAAATAACATAAACCCTGCCATTCATCGTGGTTATATTGGTTGGAAGATGGGTGAAACCACTAAAAAATAGTGATGTTCAGGGTCTATGTGAATTTACCAGAGGGTAAATGTGCTTAAATATATTTATGCAATATAGATATCGACTATCACAAGACCAACACAATTGGATCTATACATGGATTGCTTTCCAATCGCCTCCAAAGATGAGGTTTTGGTATCCGGTATCCACAGCAAATATCAGCCCAGTTCATCCACAGAATCCTCAAGCACATAAAAAAGGGCTTCAATTCACGCGACAAACTGGACTTCAGACCTCTAATAGCTATGTCACCTCTTGTCATCTGGATCTGCACCCAAAGTACTACCTGTCTGTGCAATTCTCGTATATTCTATAGATATCAATTGTGGCAGCTGGAACATATCTCACACCCAAAGATCTGATAAAAAACAAAAACAGGATAAAACGATAAATGCTCACCAGTCAGCTGAAAAAAAACGAAGCTGGAACATCCAATCACGTATATTGTAATATATATATAACATACATCATATGTGAATCTAGTGAATTCCAGTGAATTCCATGATTTTCCTATGCTTTCTTATGATTTCCATGATTTTTCCATGGGTTTCCCCATGAAAAAAACACCTCTGCATCACCGATTCTGTATCCCGCCTCTGCAGGGCCCAGCTTTCGATAGGGTCCCGCAGAGACTTTGCCTTTCGGCACCTCCGAGTTTCGCAACCAGCCTTGGTGATCCAGGTTACAGCTATTATGGCCATGGCCATGGCGTTATCACTGGTGATTTCTATGGGAAATGATGGGAAAATGATGGGAACATGTTTGGGAAAATGATGGGAAATTGGTGGGACATGTCTGAGAGTTATCTGATTTCTCAAGTGATTCATGGTGATTAATGGTGATCAATTGTGGTTAATAATGGTTCATAGTTGCCAATAGTGATTGATGATGGTTATTACTGTTGATTTCTATGGTAAACAATGGGAACATGATGGGAAATGATGGGAAAATGTTTGGGACATGATGAGAAATGTCTTAGAGCTATGGCATATTAATGGGATATTAATTTGATATTAATGTGGGATCCATGTGTAAATTAGGGGTGGAACCTGGGTAGCTGCCATTTTATAATGCTAAAATGGTTTGTCAGGGGGGTACTCCCTCTATAAATTACTCCTCGGGGTACACTTGTAGAATCACAGGCCTATAAACTGGAAGGCACCCAGGTTTCATTTTTGCAAGCCACACTTCTCAGCAAGGCTTCCAAAATCATCTCTATAAAATGCTCCTTGCCCAAGCCAGTCGCAAAAACCATTTTCCAGCTTGATGGAACTTATGCATTTCATTGCATTTCATTGCATTTCATTGCATTTCTGTCTCTGGTTGGATTCTATTTTATAGAGGTGAAAGTGGCAAATCACAAGGCTGCAGCAGGCTCCAGCGAATTTTTTCTTCCCGTGTTCTCAGGCTGTATATATCCCACTTCTCTGTCTATAAAATGGAAGTTTGTTGGCTGGACTGCTCCCAGTACCCTACACATCTCTACATAATGGATTTACTTTTTGGATCATCCTTTATTCTGTTGGATTCTTTTCCACTTATTGGCTGTCTACCCTGGCATTTCCCTGATCTCTCCCCGTCTAAGTTCCCTTCAGATCCAGTTTTCTATTCTATAGTGATCCTGGTTGAAAAGAGAGGTTGTTCTACCATTTTATAAGGACATATAGTGCAGTTTTCTATTCTATAGTGGTCCTGGTTGAAAAGAGAGGTTCTTCTACCATTTTATAAAGGCATATAGTGCAGTTTTGAGCTTGCTGGCATTGCTGCAACGGACGGCATACCGCTTTATACCGCTGCAATCAAATTGTGTTGATACATGTTGATACAAAACCTTGAAAAAAACAATGCAAACGGGCACTCTATAAAGTGGAAGTTCAGCCACACCACACATGGAAACACCCTATCTATAAAATAGCACCACAACATTGCACAGCCAACATTGTGCTATAAAGTGGAGGCCTGTGCCACCCCTACTAAATGAACAGCTTTCCTGCAGTAAGACCCCAAGTGGCCTCTATAAAGTAGTACTTGCCCAAAAAGAAAATAGATAAAACATATCCTGATAAACCATTCAAGATTCACTCCAAACATTCTGTTTTCCATTTTATAGTGCCTGAAAAAATGGTTTAGCAGGGTACCCGGGTGCGACCATTTTATAGAGGAAATGGCCACCAGGATAATGTGGGTAAAACAATCATAAACCACCCATGATTGGGAATGGTTTATATATACCACCTATAAAGGGCCTTTAACATTGCCATTTATTACTTATAACTTATAATTGGATATTAATGGTGACTAATGATACCCTGAAGTACGAGCAGGGACCCTTGGACCCTTGGGGAAGATTTTAGAACCCCAACAACAGGGTGTCTAAAATGATTTTCCCTGGGGGGGTCCTGGGGATCAACTTGATGATGTCAGACCTTTGGCGGCTTGTTTTGGGTCTAAGTTCACGCTAGTATCTATTATGGGCCTGGTGAAGATAAATCCACAGAATGAGTTGGGAGATATCATTTCAGGACCTCTTGTTGCATTGGTGAATGGTACCTGGGATCCTTTAATTTTTTGATCCGCGTTTATGCACTTTGCATGTTTTGATTCAGGAGGTTGCGCAGCGCGATAATTTCATATCTATGGTCCATGGGCCATGTGAACATAAACCATCTTACACATAAAACGACACTTTATCTTTTGGCGCACCATGTTTGGAAACAAAAAAAAATGCCACAAATACCCGTAGAGTGCTATAAAATGCTATAAACACACGTAGAAAACCTACTCCTAAAATAGTACACTTTCCAATGACCAAAATTCCGGGCACTTTGGACAGTGCCCAAAACGATGGGCACCAGGCTTTCCAGGTACCTACTTCCACATGATCCATAAATATCTGAAGTGGGCGGAAGTAGCAAATTACAGCATTAAAACAAAAAACAACTCTAGGAACCAAAACCTCCGAGGGTCTACAATGGTGGGGGTCAACGGTCTAAAATCGAACCGCATCCCCATTCTAGAACGCTGGAATTTACCTTCGTAGTAGAGGGTATGATTAATGGTGATTAACAGTGGTTAATCATGGTTAATAGTGGCTAATAGTGATTGATGATGGTTAGAATTGGTTATTTCTATGGGATTATACATTCTATTTTTATGGGGTGACTTTGTACTTATATAACATTTTATAACTGGTATTTCGGGCCATAATTGTACTGATGCTGCCAGGGGGTTTAGTTATGTTTGTTGGTTTATGTTCACCCCAAAAACCTAACAGATGTACCACTTAACCATACTTAACCTAGGCAAATGCGCCACCTTGGCTATCGTGAACCGGGGCCACGGGCTTGTTGTGATTTATGGTGGATATTGGTGGATAGATCTAGCAATTATAGGGATATCATCAACAAAATATGAAGATATCATGGGGATGAGTTGGTAGATGAGCAACAAATCTGGTGAACAGAAGTCATAACTCCAATAACTGTTGGACTATAGATAACTGCACAATTCATGTTCACCCCATTGACATCCCTGACTAGGTGCTAGTTTGATATCTACGAGAAAGCAAACAGTTAACCCACTTAGTTCAACCATAAACTAACAAACTGGGGCACCACATTGTAACCATGATCACTGGAATGATTTGAGGGAGTACATGAAACGCTGTTCTTTTACCCAAAAGATCCAGGGCTTTCCTACATAGTTTACCTTCCAGCAAACCAATTCGGTGACATGGTGAAATAGCTGTGTTGCATATGGTTATGAGGCACATCCACATAAACCAATTTATCCTCCAAAAAGACCATACAAGTCTGCCTCTCTTCAGAATGGCACATCCACATGAACCAATTTATCTTCTCAAAGATCCAAAAAGTCTGCCTCTCTTCAGAATGGCACATCCACATGAACCAATTTATCTTCTCAAAGATCCAAAAAGTCTGCCTCTCTTCAGAATGGCACATCCACATGAACCAATTTATCTTCTCAAAGATCCAAAAAGTCTGCCTCTCTTCATAATGGCACATCCACATAAACCAATTTATCTTCCTAAAAGATCCTAAAAGTCTCTCTCTCTCTCTCTCTCTCTCTTAATAATGGCACATCCACAAAAAACCATTTATCTTCCTAAAAGATCCTAAAAGTCTGTCTCTCTTCATACTGGGCAATCTTTTTGCATATGCTCATTCAGCAAATCCACAAAACCCAGTTCATTTACAAAAACACAACTTACCCATGGCCCATTCACCCTTGCTATCAACCAACAACTTATGGTACGGTATAACATAATGTCTTAAGAACCCAGTTTACACGCCTGGTTGTTATTGAATATCCCATGGTTGCTCGCAGTCAGGATCCAACTTGGATTGCTGATGGGGAACCAAGTCTCCATCAATGCAGCTAAGCCAACACTCACTAGCCTGTGTTTAACTAGACTTCTTGATTCTATACCCACAGTTTTCAACTCAGGGTTTGACATGTAATCATTTTTTGGTTAAGTCACCTCAATTTATATTAATATCTATCAGTATCTACCATTATCTATCACTATCTATCATTATCTATCATTATCTATCATTATCTATCATTATCTATCATTATCTATCATTATCTATCATTACCTATCCACCTATCCATCTATCCATCTAATCTACTAGTCTATCTATTTGTCTATCCATCCATCCATCCGTCCATCAAAGCATGTATTTCTCTCTGTATGGATACATATACGTAGAATTCGAGCTGGCAGTGTTTCTTCATGTTTGGGTACCCCATTTCACAAATATTGGTTTCTCAGAATCGAACTTGGATGAGAGTTTGGGATACCCGATGTTTTCCATTTTTTGTGCAGAAACTGACAAGCAATGGAGGGTCAATTGGTGGGTGGTTTCAACCATCTTGAAAAATATTAGTCAATGGGAAGGATTATCATGGATTATCATCCAATATATTATGGAAAATAAAAAATGTTCCAAACCACCAACCAGTCAACTTCCATCACCATTTGCTCTAAGTGACACAGATCTCCACCGCAATCCCGAGCAACCTGAGAAGCGATGGGACGTGGGGATTGATGTGGGCGAACTGCCCCTTTGGGGGGTCTATAAAATCGAGGTTCCTAAAATGGGGTACCCGGTACCCCCAAATCATCCCAAGTCATGAATGACCAGTTTAGTACCAAAACCATTCAAAACCTATGACTTGGGGATCCCGAATTTGAAGCCACCATATATTGGTTTGGTCTACGGTCTACAGCTGTTGATTCCTCAACTGATTTCAACTGATACCTCTCGAAGTGTCTTTTGTAAGTTATATGTGGGGCCCCCGTTTACGATAGCTAAGTTGGTGCCAATAACTCCAATTTCACTATTGTTTATGGTACTTCAATAACGAACAACTGTTACTGGGCTTCAGTTTTGGGGCCCGCATTGTAAAAAATCGACTTCATTTTTCCAGGATCATTCACCGACACATCAACTGTCATAGAATCATCCAGGGTTTACCATTTGAACAAAAAAAAAAATGATGTTTACCATCAAACCATTCTAATGAAAATCATCCAGTTTTCAAATCATCCCATCATCAGTTTCCCTATGAAACTTTCACTAGACTTTTGATGACTTCTATATGCTGTGATTGGACAAACCCCATGTATTTCGTTGGCAACAACACTCACCCAAGGCCGCCCCAAGGAACGATGCCATTGGCCAGAAACTTATCGGGGACTCCTAGCGCAGAAGAACGGGATTCCGGGATTCCCCTTTTGGGGTTGATGACCCATGCGATGCAACTGGAGCTTCCACAAATATGTCTGGTTTTATGCAACATCAAGTAGCCAATCAAATACAATCAAATACAATCCAAGATCTTTGTTTTTGTGTCTTGACATTTGTTTGCTTAGTTGCCTATTTCAAAATGAGAACTTTGAGAGACAGCCAAGTCCTCTGTGAAACGGTCCCAATGTCTGAACGGGGGGCTAGGTAACTATCAACATAGTAAGTCAGCCGTGCAGATTTCTAGGCACAAGGATTGTTTGTTTCTTTCTATTCACTCCAAGGAAACCATACAATGTGGGGCACCCTAGATAACTAAATTGGTTTATAATTCCAATAACTATTGTTTATGGTACCTAAATAACTATAGTTACTGGGCTTCATAAACCAACTTATAACTCGGGGGCCCCACATTGTAAGAATACACAGTTATCACTTATTTGATTAAACACAATGCCATCCACAAGAGATAGTTGGTAATTCCGGGCTCTATTACTCGGCGAAAACAAGATGAAACCCACGAACCCGAATGCTCACACGTATGTTAATGGTACAGATGTCAAAAACACATGGTTATGCAGTCACGCACAATACCTTTCTGCAATAGTTTGTTTGAACAGTCTTGTGCGTGTTTCCCTTGTTACCAGTCTGCAGTGTGGAGTGGAAAGTGTAGAGTGTGGAGTGTGGAGTGTGAAGTAAGGAGTGTGGAGTGTAAAGTGTGGAGTGGGGAGTGTAGAGTGTGTAAAGTGCAGAATGCGGAGTGTAAAGTGTAGAGTGTGGAATGTAGAGTGTGGAGTGTGGAGTGTAGAGTGTGGAGTGAGGAGTGTAAAGTGCAAAGTGTGGAGTGTGTAGTGTAAAGTGAGGAGTGTAAAGTGTGGAGTGTAAAGTGAGGAGTGTAAAGCGTGGAGTGAGGAGTGTGGAGTTTGTAAATTGTAGAGTGTGAAGTGTAGAGTGTAAAGTGTAGAATAAAGTGGAGAGTGTGGAGTGTAGAGTGTAGCGTGTGGAGTGTGGAGTGGCAAGTGCAGAGTGTGGTGTGTAGAGTGTGGAGTGTGGAGTTTAAAGTGTGGAGTGTAGAGTGTGGAGTGTAAAGTGTAGAGTGTGGAGTGTAAAGTGTGGAGTGTAAAGTGTGGAGTGAGGAGTGTAAAGTGGAAAGCGTGGAGTGTAAAGTGTAAAGTGTGGAGTGTAAAGTGTGGAGTGAGGAGTGTAAAGTGTGGAGTGTAAAGTGTGGAGTGGAAAGTGTGGAGTGTGAAGTGTGGAGTGTAAAGTAAGGAGTGTGGAGTGTAAAGTGTGGAGTGTGGAGTGTAAAGTGTGGAGTGTGGAGCGTAAAGTGTAGAGTGTGGAGTGTGGAGTGGAAAGTGTAGAGTGTGGTGTGTAGCGTGTGGAGTGTGGAATATAAAATGAGGAGTGTAAAGCGCGGAGTGTGGAGTGAGGAGTGTAAAGTATAAAGTGTGGAGTGTGGAGTGTACAGTAAAGTGTGGAGTGTGGAGTGCGGAGTGTGGAGTGGAAAGTGTAGAGTGTGGAGTGTGGAGTGTAAAGTGGGGAGTGTGGAGTGTGGAGTGAGAAGTGTAGAGTGTAAAGTGTGAAGTGTGAAGTGTAGAGTGCGGAGTGTGGAGTGTGGAGTGGAAAGTGTAGAGTGTGGTGTGTAGAGTGTGGAGTGTGGAGTGTAAAATGTAAAGTGTGGAGCGTAGAGTGTAAAGTGTAGAGTGTGTAAAGTGTGGAGTGTAGAGTGTAAAGTGTAGAGTGTAAAGTGTAGAGTGTGGAGTGTAGAGTGTAAAGTGTGGAGTGTGGAGTGTAAAGTGTGGAGTGTAAAGTGTAGAGTGTGGAGTGTGGAGTGTAAAGTCTGGAGTGTGGAGTGTGGAGTGGAAAGTGTGGAGTGTGAAGTGTGGAGTGTAAAGTAAGGAGTGTGTAGTGTAAAGTGTGGAATGTGGAGTGTGGAGTGTAAAGTGTAGAGTGTGGAGTGTGGAGTGTAAAGTGTAGAGTGAGGAATGAGGAGTGGAAAGTGTAGAGTGTAGTGTAAAGTGTGGAGTGTGGAGTGTGGAGTGTAAAGTCTCAGGTGAGGAGTGAGGAGTGTAAAGTGCAAAGTGTAAAGTGTGGAGTGTAAAGTGTAGAGTGTGGAGTCTAAAGTGTAAATTGTGGAGTGTGGAGTGTAAAGTGTAGAGTGTGGAGTGCGGAGCTTCCCCCATAGACACGGCGACGCCACAGGAAAACCAGAGACTCGAGACGAGACACGTGGGTTCAAAAAAAACGAGCATTTTTTGTGCGAGACTTCCTCCACTTTTGATATTTTCGGCACGTTATCAAACAGGTTGCAACGTCACAAAGTGCCACGCCTGCCACGCAAAACGACATGACAACCTGCTTGGACACATTCGAATAGGAGATGTTTTCCAGCTTCCCCCATAGACATGGCGACGCCACAGGAAAACCAGCGACTCGAGACAAGACACGTGGATTCAGAAAAACCAGCATTTCGTACGAGACTTCCTCCAATTTTGACATTTTCGACGCATTATCAAACAGGTTGGAATGTCACAAAGTGCCACGCCTGCCACGCAAAACGACATGACAACCTGCTTGGATACATTCGAATAGGAGATGTTTTCCAGCTTCCCCCATAGAAACGGCGACGCCACAGGAAAACCAGCGACTCGAGACAAGACACGTGGATGCAGAAAGACTATCTTTCTCTCTCTTTCTCTGACTATCTACCTACCTACCTATCTATGTATTTATGTATCTAATCCCTTCCTCCTAATACTAAACCCCCCCCCTAATACAAAACACGGCAGGTAGTTTTTAGTATTAGGGGGGTATTTATTATTAGGGAACCAAATCGAAGTCATGTTAATTAATTAATTAAATTTCCTTATATAACGTAATTAAAATATTGCCAAAAATGGCAGTTCGAAGCTTACCCCTAATACTAAATTGAAACCCTTAATACTAAAAACTATTTTTTCCGATCTCAAAATCAATTACATTTCTTTATATAACGCAATTAAAATATTGCCAAAAATAGCAGTTCGAAGTTTACCCCTAATACTAAATTAAAACCCTTAATACTAAAAACTATTTTTTCCGATCTCAAAATCAATTAAATTTCTTTATATAACGCAATTAAAATATTGCCAAAAATGGCAGTTCGAAGCTTACCCCTAATACTAAATTGAAACCCTTAATACTAAAAACTATTTTTTCCGATCTCAAAATCAATTAAATTTCCTTATATAACGCAATTAAAATATTGCCAAAAATGGCAGTTCGAAGCTTACCCCTAATACTAAATTAAAACCCTTAATACTAAAAACAATTTTTTCCGATCTCAAAATCAATTAAATTTCCTTATATAATGCAATGAAAATATTGCCAAAAATGGCAGTTCGAAGCTTACCCCTAATACTAAATTAAAACCCTTAATACTAAAAACTAGCCCTCCTAATACTAAACACCCCGGGATGAATTAGTTTTTAGTATTAGGGGGGAGAACCCACAAATGGTAGGTTGATTTTTGAATTGTTTTTTAAAGGGGATCAATTAAAAGTCAAATTGGCCAAACTGAAATTTTCGGAAATTGGAGATGGATGACTGTTTTTAGTATTAGGGGGACGTTTAGTATTAGGAGGAAGGGATTATCTATCTATCTATCTATCTATCTATCTATCTATCTATCTATCTATCTATCTATCTATCTATCTATCTCAAGGAACGGTGCCAGTGGCCAGAAACTTATCGGGGACTCCTAGCGCAGAAGAACGGGATTCCGGGATTCCCCTTTTGGGGTTGATGACCCATGCGATGCAACTGGAGCTTCCACAAATATGTCTGGTTTTATGCAACATCAAGTAGCCAATCAAATACAATCAAATACAATCCAAGATCTTTGTTTTTGTGTCTTGACATTTGTTTGCTTAGTTGCCTATTTCAAAATGAGAACTTTGAGAGACAGCCAAGTCCTCTGTGAAACGGTCCCAATGTCTGAACGGGGGGCTAGGTAACTATCAACATAGTAAGTCAGCCGTGCAGATTTCTAGGCACAAGGATTGTTTGTTTCTTTCTATTCACTCCAAGGAAACCATACAATGTGGGGCACCCTAGATAACTAAATTTGTTTATAATTCCAATAACTATTGTTTATGGTACCTAAATAACTATAGTTACTGGGCTTCATAAACCAACTTATAACTCGGGGCCCCACATTGTAAGAATACACAGTTATCACTTATTTGATTAAACACAATGCCATCCACAAGAGATAGTTGGTAATTACGGGCTCTATTACTCGGTGAAAACAAGATGAAGCCCACGAACCCGAATGCTCACACGTATGTTAATGGTACAGATGTCAAAAACACATGGTTATGCAGTCACGCACAATACCTTTCTGCAATAGTTTGTTTGAACAGTCTTGTGCGTGTTTCCCTTGTTACCAGTCTGCAGTGTGGAGTGGAAAGTGTAGAGTGTGGAGTGTGGAGTGTGAAGTAAGGAGTGTGGAGTGTAAAGTGTGGAGTGGGGAGTGTAGAGTGTAAAGTGTAGAGTGTGTAAAGTGTGGAGTGTAGAGTGTAAAGTGTAGAGTGTAAAGTGTAGAGTGTGGAGTGTAGAGTGTGAAGTGAGGAGTGTAAAGTGCAAAGTGTGGAGTGTGGAGTGTAAAGTGAGGAGTGTAAAGTGTGGAGTGTAAAGTGAGGAGTGTAAAGTGTGGTGTGAGGAGTGTGGAGTTTGTAAATTGAAGAGTGTGAAGTGTAGAGTGTAAAGTGTAGAGTGTAAAGTGGAGAGTGTGGAGTGTAGAGTGTAGCGTGTGGAGTGTGGAGTGGCAAGTGCAGAGTGTGGTGTGTAGAGTGTGGAGTGTGGAGTTTAAAGTGTGGAGTGTAGAGTGTGGAGTGTAAAGTGTAGAGTGTGGAGTGTGGAGTGGCAAGTGTAGAGTGTGGTGTGTAGAGTGTGGAGTGTGGAGTTTAAAGTGTGGAGTGTAGAGTGTGGAGTGGGGAGTGTAAAGTTAGAGTGTGGAGTGTGGAGTGTAAAGTGTGGAGTGTAATGTGTGGAGTGAGGAGTGTAAAGTGGAAAGCGTGGAGTGTAAAGTGTAAAGTGTGGAGTGTATAGTGTAGAGTGTAAAGTGTGGAGTGTAAAGTGTGGAGTGTAAAGTGTAGAGTGTGGAGTGTAAAGTGTGGAGTGTAAAGTGTGGAGTGAGGAGTGTAAAGTGTGGAGTGTGGAGTGTAAAGTGTGGAGTGTGGAGAGGAAAGTGTGGAGTGTGAAGTGTGGAGTGTAAAGTAAGCAGTGTGGAGTGTAAAGTGTGGACTGTGGAGTGAGGAGTGTAAAGTGTGGAGTGTGGAGTGTAAAGTGTGGAGTGTGGAGTGGAGAGTGTGAAGTGTAAAGTGCAGAGTGTAAAGTGTGGAGTGTGGAGCGTAAAGTGTAGAGTGTGGAGTCTGGAGTGGAAAGTGTAGAGTGTGGAGTGTGGAGTGTAAATTGAGGAGTGTAAAGTGTGGAGTGTGGAGCGAGGAGTGTAAAGTATAAAGTGTGGAGTGTGGAGTGTACAGTAAAGTGTGGAGTGTGGAGTGCGGAGTGTGGAGTGGAAAGTGTAGAGTGTGGAGTGTGGAGTGTAAAGTGGGGAGTGTGGAGTGTAGAGTGTGGAGTGAGGAGTGTAAAGTGTAAAGTGTGGAGTGTGGAGTGTAAAGTGTAGAGTGTAGAGTGTGGAGTGTGGAGTGTGGAGTGTGGAGTGGAAAGTGTAGAGTGTGGTGTGTAGAATGTGGAGTGCGGAGTGTAAAATGTAAAGTGTGGAGCGTCGAGTGTAAAGTGTAGAGTGTGGAGTGTGGAGTGTAGAGTGTAAAGTGTAGAGTGTAAAGTGTAGAGTGTGGAGTGTAGAGTGTAAAGTGACGAGTGTAAAGTGTGGAGTGAGGAGTGTAAAGTGCGGAGTGTGGAGTGTAAAGTAAGGAGTGTGGAGTGTGGAGTGGAAAGTGTGGAGTGTGAAGTGTGGAGTGTAAAGTAAGGAGTGTGTAGTGTAAAGTGTGGAGTGTGGAGTGTAAAGTGTAGAGTGTGGAGTGTGGAGTGTAAAGTGTGGAGTGAAGAGTGAGGAGTGGAAAGTGTAGATTGTAGTGTAAAGTGTGGAGTGTGGAGTGTAAAGTCTCAGGTGAGGAGTGAGGAGTGTAAAGTGCAAAGTGTAAAGTGTGGAGTGTAAATTGTAGAGTGTGGAGTCTAAAGTGTAAATTGTGGAGTGTGGAGTGTAAAGTGTAGAGTGTGGAGTGCGGAGCTTCCCCCATAGACACGGCGACGCCACAGGAAAACCAGAGACTCGAGACGAGACACGTGGGTGCAAAAAAAACGAGCATTTCGTGCGAGACTTCCTCCAATTTTGATATTTTCCACACGTTATCAAACAGGTTGGAATGTCACAAAGTGCCACGCCTGCCACGCAAAACGACATGACAACCTGCTTGGATACATTCGAATAGGAGATGTTTTCCAGCTTCCCCCATAGAAACGGCGACGCCACAGGAAAACCAGCGACTCGAGACAAGACACGTGGATTCAGAAAAACCAGCATTTCGTACGAGACTTCCTCCAATTTTGACATTTTCGATGCATTATCAAACAGGTTGGAATGTCACAAAGTGCCACGCCTGCCATGCAAAACGACATGACAACCTGCTTGGACACATTCGAATAGGAGAGGTTTTCCAGTTTCCCCCATAGAAACGGCGACGCCACAGGAAAACAAGCGACTCGAGACAAGACACGTGGATGCAGAAAAACCAGCATTTCGTACGAGACTTCCGGCAATTTTCACAGTTGGCAACATGACAAAAGGACAGGTTTTGCAGCTTCCCCCATAGACACGGCGACGCCACAGGAAAACCAGAGACTCGAGACGAGACGCGTGGGAGCACCAAAACGAGCATTTCGTGCGAGACTTCCTCCAATTTTCACACTTTGTAGCTTCAAAATCGACGTTTTCCTACGAGTTTTCCTTAGAACCTCTAAATTTTGCAACCTCAAAATCGATGTTTCGTGCGAGGCTTCCGTCAATTTTCAGCACATGTCACAAAATGCCACGCCTGCCACGGAATTTGCACCTTGTCGCCACTTGACGCAGCCCTGCCAATGCGATTTGCAAAAAACATACTACACGACACGTCTAAAGTGCTGCGCCTGCCACGCAAAATGACGATGGACACGTCCAAAGTGCTGCGCCTGCCACGAAAACTGCCACGCATCTTCGGAAAACGTCGCAAAAGTATTGCGCCTGCCACACACAAAACGACTTTCGACACGTTACAAAACACGTCTGAATGTCACAAAGTGCCACGCCTGCCACGCGAAACGAAGCAACGAAACGTTGGAAACCTCCAAAAATGACATCTCCTGCGGCCATACGGGGATCGCACGAACGGTTTTGCGAACGGTTGCGAACGATTGCGGACGGTTGCGGACGGTTGCGACCGTGAACGCAACGTCGAGCGAACAAACCCTCAACCCCCAGACCCCCAGAGTGAAACGGGAACCCTTGCTACGCATTCGGGAAAAAACCAAGGGATAAGAACACCATAAATATGTGGGCATTTCGCAGTTATAAATCAGTAAGTCACTCCATTTATAACCATAAAAAAATCACTAGCTTTAGGGCTGTCACATAATCCCAAAGTTTCGATGTTGCATTGCAAAAAAAATACCAATGAGAATACCTTAGTTATTTTTTTCAGAATACCTTAGGATAACCCAATTTTTTTTAATTACCATTTTCCAACCATCCACTTTTCCCAGCAAACAGACCGAGATTTCGAGATTTCGGCTGAGGCGCCAAAGTCATTTAAGGCCACGCTGGACGGAAGCTGCCAGCTGTCCATGGTGGGCTTCACGGCTTTTTGCAAAGCGCGCAGGACCTGCACTGGACCCCGTCACAGCTCGATAAGGGGAGAACAGGATGAGAAGCAAAAACCATGGTGAATTCCATTAGTTTCATGGTGAGAAATGTGAGAATGGTCAAAAATCATGGGGTTCAAGAGCCGAAATCCAAGATTTCACTGAATTGAAATGATCTAAACAACACATAAGGTGTCATATGGTGATTTAAAGATATCTATAGATATTTATAGGGGATATATGATGATTAATAACATGGCAGTGCACACAGGCAGCCTCCAAACAAGACCATTTGAGCAGTGCTCCAAAACCTAGTTGGTTGGTGCGTAGTTCGGGGGTTATGTACTACCCTTTACACATTGGGGATTCAACCATGAGCTGAGAATCCTGTTCTTTCACACAATCATAAATTTGGGGGTATACCGGTATACCCATTTTGGGACAGATTTTGCATATGAAGATTGCTATACGTTGCAGTTACCCACTTGTCATCCAGCATGGCAATGGAAGATTACCCATTTGGTTCGATCATTTTCCAATTAGAACTTCCGTTTATAAATTTATGATGATTTGCCATGTATGCGTTGAATCACATCTCCCCACATCTCACCACGCCTTCGTTGGCAACTTGCCCCGGCGGAGGCAGCAGGGTACCACGTCATGCTGCGTCTTGGCGTAGAAATTGTAGACCTGCGTCTGTTGGAAATATTGGGATGCATCAAAGCCATTCAAAACCTGTGAAAATGGTTGTTTAATGGCCTTAATGCATCCCAATATTATGGCTTTAATGCCATTCAAAACCTATGAACATTTAAAAAAGAAAAGTTGTGATTTATGGCAACTTGCTGGGATTCAATCCTCTGATACCACAATTTGGGGGGATGAACATCCATTTGCCAGCTTTCTTGGTGTGAGCAGAAGGTTACCATGGTTTGACTTATATACTCATGTATATATATATATAAATATAGTATAGGGATGTAATGGAATTATATATGGGGATTTACCAGTGCAATGGAGATTAGTGGTGATTTATGATGGACGGCCTGATATCAGATTTGTTACTGTATATAATCATGTTTGTTCTTTTCCCAAACCTGGGTAGATCAAACAAATGGCAGTTTGAACTGGGCACATGAGAATCAACCACTCTATTTTGGGCCCCCTTATTGTGGAAAAAGGGCATGGCCTTATCAACCTTGGATGGTTGGGAGATTACCCCAGCACATGAGAATCACTTGAGATGTATAACTTGGTATTTGTTTCAGCCCGAAATACAGCTTGTATCAGGAGTACCCAAGCCAAAAAAATCTATATCCTCATTGAGGACCAAGATTTTGGGGATAAATAATGATAAATATCTACATGCAGGTTTCTCCGGAAAATCGGTATTGTCCGCCTTCATTTCTATTCATATATAGCAATTCTATTCAGAGAATGATGGTTTATTGGATTCTTGGTCACACAAATTCAGATAATCTCATTGACTATTGTAGGGGATGGCTGAAAAGTAGCCAGCACAAGGGCTAGGTTTTACAGCAATCTGATGGTTTAACAAAGAACCGTGAATAATCCTGAAAATTAGGGTTGATGGTTTGCGACGGGCTATATATTGATCCGTTTCCCATTTCAGTGGACATTTTTGGTTTTACCACAACTTTAGAAACAACAACTTCTGGCATGGTTGAACCATTAATCCTCGATTATAATCACGGTTAACTGGTTGAACATCCATTTTTTCATGTCGGCCGCTTGCCCCGCCAGCCTTCTGGATACCTCCTCGTTTCTTGCGAGGCATGGTTCCACTAAAAAACCATCAAAGCTGAAAACCAGCGTGTGCGAGGTAGTGACCCATACTTTGCTAAGCTGTTTTAGTTCACAAACCGTGAATTGGTGAATCCTATGGTTTATGGATGTTTATAGATGTTTATGGGATATATATATATATATATTATACTGTTCCTGGGGTGAACCTGCACCAAGGACCATCCATGTTCGTCCTTGTCTGGTGCTTTCTTGTTGAGACACATATCATGGCAATTACCGATAATTGCCGTATAAAAATTAGGTAGACATGTGTGTCTGTATGATTCTGTAGTAAAAACATTGAGGCTTTTTCGACGCTTGGTCTATGGCTGCTAACTTTGCCGTCACAAACCAAATCACCGTGTCAAAAGTATGCAGATTTTACCGGAGCTGTCTGAGCCAAATCCAACCAAATGCAGTGAAGGTACTCCAGAGGCGAGACCCACTGAAGGTTCACTAGAAAACCCTTCAAGAAATCTGGTCATTCCAAGATCCGACTTTGGACTCAGATTGTTCCAACTGTCACATCACCTGAATCCTTTCTGTCTCAACAATCTTATCAAGGTTTAGATTCATGAGGGCTTCTCAAAACCTTGTTGCTGCTGGTGTTAATTTCACGATTGTCCCACATGAATGTAAAATCACACCATCGTAGACCAAACAGTGGTTGGATATAAAACGTTTTTTTGGACAGATCAGAGTGTAATACTGTATCAAAATTTAAAAAAATCTGGTTCAGCCAAAGCTACACATGGTAAAGGAGTGGTGGATGTCTCTACCAGACAAGTAGCTGTGATTTATGGATGTTCAGTGGATGCCCATCCCACCAAAATATGATATAGTAAGCTTGATCCCTCCCCACAATGTGCTGAAGAGCTTGGATTTCTTGCTGTTCATCATGTTCATCATGACCATCCGTTTGGTACCCAGTTGCGTTCTGGAAATTTAAACCGTTTGCCATAGAAACTCACCATTTTCAATAGGGAACTCATCACACAAATTTCCACATCAATTCTGGGAATCTCAGATTCGCTTGAATCAAACCTAAGATTGGACCACTTGCATGGCTCCACGAGGAAGTGACCAAGCTGCGATCCCTTGTGACATGGGCCACTGCAAGCAGTCTGACCATGGTCACTTCGCCACTACCCTCACTAGCCAGTCTTTTGTCGTGGTGCCGCTCCACCAAGTTGCACACCATACCGCTCCAGAGTCAATATGGTGATGTGACGATCATGACGATCATTGATAAACAATTCAACTCGGCAGGCGAAATATCAGGATCAGTCTGGGTTCATGGAGGAAGCAATTTCATCAACACAAATGCAAGTGACTCACATTGTCATTGTCTTCCCCTATGACCAATTTGCCAATTGAGCACACACAAAATATTAATCATCTTTTAAGTCAAACTCATGGAACAGGGGAAACTCTCGAACGCCGCTTTTTGTTGAAATCCATCGACTTCTTAAAATTGGGGATCCAAAAAAAAAGTGTTTAATATTTAAATGGTCTAATTTGGAATTTGTTGGGTTGCTCCCACGACTTCCAAACATATTGATCTGTTTTTCGCTCCGAGGTTTGATATCCCCTGGCTGATCCACGAGGGGGCCATGCAGGGGCACATTGGCCCTTTGCAAATGGAACCACAATGGTTTAATGTAAGGGCCCCCTAAAACCACCACCGCTCCTGCGAGGTGCTTCAACGGCTCGATGAAAACACGTTGATTGGAACATGGCAAGACCCTACAGCACAAGACGTTGAATCAACAGTGATCACAGCACCAGCCACATTGGGTCGGTATACACTTTGCTTCTGGCATGAGAAACTCTCAGCAAGTTTATCAAGGGCTAGGAGCAGGACCCGGGGATGGTCCCGGGGATGGTCCCGGTGATGGTCCTAGGGATGGCCCTGGTGATGGTGCCGCAGTTGTAGTTGTTGGTGACGGGGATGGGGATGGTCCTGGTGATGGTGCCGCAGTTGTAGTTGTTGGTGGTGGCGATGGGGATGGTCCTGGTGATGGTCCTGCTGCAGCGGTTGTAGTTGTTGGTGACGGGGATGGGGATGGTCCTGGTGATGGTCCTGCTGCAGCGGTTGTAGTTGTTGGTGACGGGGATGGGGATGGTCCTGGTGATGGTGCCGCAGTTGTAGTTGTTGGTGGTGGGGATGGGGATGGTCCTGCTGCAGCGGTTGTAGTTGTTGGTGACGGGGATGGGGATGATCCTGGTGATGGTCCTGGTGCCGCAGTTGTAGTTGTTGGTGACGGGGATGGGGATGGTCCTGGTGATGGTGCCGCAGTTGTAGTTGTTGGTGGCGGGGATGGGGATGGTCCTGGTGATGGTCCTGCTGCAGCGGTTGTAGTTGTTGGCGGCGGGGATGGAGATCCTGGTGATGGTCCTGGTGCAGCCGTTGTAGCTGTTGTGCCAGCAGCTGGCGCTGGTCCTGGTGATGCTCCGCTCGTTTTTGGGCGGGTGGTTGTGCCACCAGCTGGCGCTGGTCCTGGTGATGCTCCGCTCGTTGTTGGGCGGGTGGTTGTGCCACCAGCTGGCGCTGGTCCTGGTGATGCTCCCGCCGTTGTGCTTGGTGATGGCCCTGGTGATGGTGCTGCCGTTGTGTCTGCCGGACCGGGTGCTGCTGCTGTGGTTGCATCAGAGGGCCCGGGGGTCGGGGCTGGGGCTGCAGTTGTTGTATCAGCCGCATCATTGGGCGGCCCGCTGGGCGCACCAGAAGGGGCCGCCTTGACGATGGATGTCACTGTCGGACCTTGGGAAAAGGAGGGCGCCATTTTGGCCGTGATCCAAGTGGTAACTGAAACCCAAACTGAAGTCGAGCATACGACTGCTGTTGATATCACTGGCTGCAGGAATAGTGGGAGGAAATCAGATTCATCTTGAATTGGGTGTCTCTTTAGACCAACTATGGAGATACAATCAGCCACTAGCATGGTGTTGTTTTAATGTAGGAAAGCTCAAACATGCATTCCAACATTGACACGATGGTGATCGATATGGCTACAGGTCGGATCGTTCTGCAATCTTTTTGATATGGTTTTCGTGATGCTTGAGGGACAGCTACTTACAGTCCTAAATTCCAATATCATTCCAGGGATATTTCGAAGAGGAAGGGGATGTACCACCACATCCATTTCAAGATAAGCATCATCCCCATTTTGATTATTACATCAGCCCTTTTCAATGAGATGGTCATCCAAGATGAAACCATCAACATTTTCTATGGATTTCCAACCTGGCGTGCCTGCATGGGAGACCGCAAGATGCCACAGGAGGTTAAATCACCGAAAGATCCAAAAAATAGTGACGTGGCCCGAGTTATACCAGTTATGTCAGTAAGTCACCCCATTGGTTATACAAGGTTTACAGTAACTCCAGATTTGTACCATGTGAAAATAACCATTTAACCATGTTCCTATGGTTTTCCTATGGTTTTCCATGAACAAAACACGAAACGTTTCTATGGCAATGGCGGCGTGTTGCTTCGAGTGGCTCAAGTCTTGGATGGGAACGCCCGTCGTGTTCAGAGCCGTTTCCAGTTGCGCCACCATCTCCGGAAGGAGCGAAGGGAATGCGCCACGGGTGCAAAAAAAAAAGATGGGGAGAGGATACCATACTTTCAATCAAAATGACGTGAGTTATACCAGCTTTAAGTGAAATGACCCGAAAATGGAATGATAAGCCGAAAACAAGCATTTAAAGTGAATTTAACGGCTTTGACTGTATGGGATATCTATGAAACAATGGGGTAGGAACTGGGAATATATGAAATAAATTGAAACAATGGGATGCTCAATATGGTTCACAGATAGAAAGATGGAATAAAAATAAGATAACTCTTATATGTATATATATATAATATACATATCGAAAAAAATGCGATAAACATTAGAGATTCATTGAACCCAGATTAATAGCTCTTAAATCTATTTGGTAGATCATCTCACTTCGGAACTGGTCTGGGACCACAAATGATCTGTCACTTTTGGATAAAACCCAGTAGATTCAGGCGCAATGTACTTCACTGTACTTCACCCGAATTTTCCAACCAACACGTACAGCCTTTGGCTCATAATTAAGGTCCCCAAGAAGAGGATCGTTTGGATGTCCAACTGCTGAACTTTTGACTCCTTCCTAGCTCTGCTTTGTAGGACTTGTTTGTATGTTCGTGGAAACTTGAAACTAGTGAGCAAGTGAGGGCCATTTGACAGTATATATATATATATGGTTGATGCAACCTATACATCATCTAATGGCGGGCGATTAACCCATGTATATATATAATTATGATATATATATATATATGAGTGGAGGCCATATTCGAAATTGTAACATATGAAACACGGTATTACTTTCACCGCTCATGTGAGGCCGTCTCTTCCCTAGCCTCTGCTCCGCCGAACTGCTGGCAGTTGCTAGTACCAATACCATTCTCAGCAAAACATTGAACAGACCCATCATTCACCAGTTACAACAGATTGCCAAATACTTATATAACTGATAACTGATCACTAACCCATTTTTCACCAGCTGCTAATCATGTGACGATTATGTTACATAACAAAATATGGAAAATTAACAAGAATCGTACTGTGCTGTAGATAATTTTCTGTGGTTTCCCATGCATTTCTTCACTGTCTGTTAGTTAGGTGATACATGTTAAATTCGCGTGGTGGTCGCTGAAGGTTGTGTTCACTGGTACTTCTTTAAGGCCATTTGACAGCGACAACTTGATAATTATCGATTTTTGGTTTAGGTATCCCATTCAAACCCTGTTCCATCCCCATTTATGGTTGTTATACACCCCGTTTTCATACACACACCCTCTGGTAGTCAAAGATGGTTTGCTGGAGAATGCCCCATTTAGTTCGAGTTGAATTCAGAATAACCCCAAACATCCCATCTCATACTAGTTGGTTGATGGGTTTTTAGTTCATCCTCTCCATCCATTTTCCAACAGAAAATCCGGATAATATAGCC